CCCCCCCCCCCCCCCCCCCCCCCTTTGTGCACGTTGTCTTTGTCCGCACTCGCCGCTCTTTGTAGGCTCCACCGCTTGAAACATCACGACGCCAGGTTGGTTGACTTCTCCACCGTGACTCGTTCGCGCCGAGGCTGTGCAGCATCCCGCGGGTTTGTTCCTAACATCAAGAACCCAGGTCTGGCCATTCCGGGGTCAACCCTCTGTCGACCAGGAACCAGGGTTTCCCTCCCGTGCTGCCATCGTAACCAGCCCCCGGCATCTTCGCAGCTCGACTTTTCTAGAACATCTCCGTCTTCCCCAAACCATCTCTCTTTTTAGTTCGTCTTTTAGTTTCCTGCGCTTTGGCCACAAGGGATCCGAGATCCAGTCCATTCGCTTCCAAAACACTGCTCAGGCTCACACCCTGAGCCAGAGACATCCTGCGGCTTAGCCCAGACACCCAATCATTCTCGGGCTCGTCCAACGCATAGGCTTCGGACGGTAGCATTCCCTGGGGGACACCACGCGAGGAGCTGTCTCAGACCTTGCCAGGCCACCCCCTCCTGACGTCGCGCGGCGTCTTCCCACAAGTAATGTCCAGCGCGCCAATCTCACCTCGAAATCCCACCAGGATGGGCTTCATACCCATCAACCACGGAAGGCCCTCAGAAGGCGACAACGAGATTCCCTTGACCCAGATACGAACAAACGCGTCAACCGGCGCCCGCAAGCCAGCCATGGGTTCGGCCAGCGACGAGAAGCGCTCTCTCTTTCGGGGCAACGAAGGTCGCGGTCCCGGCCGCCGCAAAATCAAGAAGGACCTCGCGGATCAGGGCCGGAGAGGCACCAGTGGCTCCGATGATGTCGCCCTCAACGCCATGGGTCGCATCTACAACAAGATCGTCGGGTTCTCCTCCGTTACCCGGTATCTCGTCTACGTCGTGCCCGTCGCACTGATCCTCGCCGTTCCTGTTGTGGTGCTCGTGGCCACTGAAAACCTGCAAAAGATACCCATCGGCGAGTTGAGGACACTAAAGGCCGGCCAAACCGACGCCAGCAACCCCGAGAACCTGGACATTCTCCAGGGGCCTCCTCTGTTCGAGCTCATGCTGTGGATTCTGATGTCGTGGATGGCTCTCTGGGTCGGCAAGATCGTCGCCCACTTGCTCCCTGGAGTCTTCATGTTCTTGTGCGGTGTCGTCAGCTCCGGCACTCGCAAGTACGCTACCGTCATCCGCGCGCTTGAGATCCCGCTCTCGCTCTTCTTCTGGGGTCTTTCGTCATACCTCACCTTCACCTTTCGCATCGTTAACCAGCAAGGCTGGGATCGCATCGGCTGGGTCGACGTCATGCGCAAAATTCTTGGCGCCAGCTTCATCTCGGCCGGTGTTTTCCTGGCTGAGAAGACCATAGTGCAGCTCATTAGTATCACCTACCACCAGAGGTCCTTTGCCAACCGCATCAAGGATTCCAAGCGCGATGTATACCTCCTCGGTCTGCTTTACGACGCCTCCCGTACCCTCTTCCCCATGTACTGCCCAGAGTTCGAAGAGGAGGACAACATCATCAACGATAGTATCGATAGACTCCTCGCCGGCGGCAGGGGTCAGAATGGAGCCGGAGCCGGCCACCCCATGCGCCTGATCGGAAATGTTGGCGCCAACGTCGGCCGCATCGGTGACAAGATCACGTCGGTCTTTGGCAACGTGGCTTCCGAGATTACCGGAAAGCAAGTTTTCAGCCCCAACTCGGCCCACTCCATCGTTGTTGAAGCTCTGGAGAAGCGGCATACTTCCGAGGCCCTCGCCAAGCGTATCTGGATGTCGTTCGTGGTAGAGGGGTATGACACCCTGAGCCAGGACGATATCTCCGAGGTTCTGGGTTCTGCGCACGAGCAAGAGGCCATCGAGGCTTTTGAGGCCATCGACGCCGACGGGAATGGCGACATCAGCCTAGAGGAGATGAGACTCAAGGTCGTCGAGATTGGCGTCGAGCGCAAGGCCATCTCGAACAGCATGAAGGACATTGGCCAGGCCCTTGGTGTCTTTGACGAGATCCTGCTATTTGTCGTCCTCCTAATCGTCATCTTCATCTTCCTAGCCTGGTTCCAGAGCGACTTCATCACGCGCCTGGCCACTGCCGGCACTGCCTTTCTCTCGCTCTCTTTCGTCTTTGCCGTCACCACGCAGGAGTTCCTCGGATCGTGCATCTTCCTCTTCGTCAAGCACCCCTACGATGTCGGCGACCGCGTTGACATCACCGGCCAGTCGCTTCTTGTTGAGCGCATCTCGCTGCTCTACACCATCTTTACCCGCATCGACAAGATGGAGGTTGTTCAGGTAAGCCGCTCTCTCGATGTTTGGCAATCGTTAAAACCTATCGCTGACATGCTTCATCCAGGTCCCAAACATTGTCCTTAACAACTTGTGGATCGAGAACGTGACACGCAGCAAGGCCATGAAAGAGACCCTTGACGTCAATGTCTCGTTCGACACCAGCTTCGAGGACATCGAGCTGCTCCGCAAAGAGATGGAGAAGTTTGTGCGCCACCCCGACAACTCTCGCGACTTCATGCCAGACTTCTCTATCAGCATTGGCAGCGTCAACGACCTGGACAAGATGACGCTCAAGGTGATCATTAAACACAAGTCGAACTGGCATAACGATGCTGTCCGTGCCGCCCGCCGCTCCAAGTTTGTTTGCGCCCTGGCTTTGGCACTGAAGCGCGTCCCCATCTACGGCCCTGGTGGTGGTGGCGAGCCGCTTGGCGGCGCGCTCAACCCGGCGTACTCGGTCGCTGTCGATGATAAGTATGCCGTAGCGGCACGCGCCAAGGCCGACCAGGATAAGGATGCAAAGCGCATGGTGCCCACGCCGAGCGAAGAGGCTGCGGCTGAAGAGCTGAACGTGCGCGACGGAGGAGTGCTGGGTGCGGGTGCCTTTGGCGGCAACCGAGATGACGATCCCGACTCGCCGGAGGCCTCTGAGCGCAGGGACCACATGGGGCAAGGATTCCAGAAGCATGTCAGCCAGCGCGGTGGTCGCAGACAGGCGGGTCAGACGCTGCCTACCGGAGACGACGGCAGCGCTCCTCTGCTCTCGCCTACTCGCGCCCCGACAATCACACGCAACGGCGCCTCACTTGACGTTGAGCGCGGTAACGGCGGTCTAGCCCCCGGCCGCGCCGCCTCGGTTGCTAGTAACAGGTCGAACCCCTACTACGGCGCAGCCGGCGTGATCCCACCCACGGGATCCGGTGCCGCGGCAGCCAACTACGCTCAGGTCCAGCAGACGTCGCCCCAAAGCGGCCAGGCTCAACAACAAGGCTATAGTGTTTTCCCCCGCCAGCAGTACTCGCCGCCTGGGTCCAGCCACGGCACCTTTTCTGGATCATCCCAGACAGGGATGCCACTCCACCCTCTCCAGGCCGCGCCGCCTGGACGGCCGAGAGGACCCAGCGTATCCTCCAACTTCCGCGGCCAGCAGCCTCCGCCACCTCCGGGACCCCAGCGATAGGTGAGGAGTAGAACGGCTGCCAGTCTAATTAGGTTGATGGCAGACTAGGCCATCTTCGCGGTACGATTTCTAATATCTATTCTGTGCCGGCGGTCAGCATGACTTGTATGATATTGTGTTTCCTTTTCGTATTATTCTCCAATCTCTCACTAAGCGTCCTGCACAGCGCTGAGCGTGCCAGAGATAGGGAGGGATACAGTTGGCACGCCAACTTTTTTTTTCCTAGCGTTGATTTCCGCAAAGAATATTGTCTTCTAAATGTAGGGAAAGAAGTTAAACTCCCAGATACACTGGCCGGAATTCCCGGCTCTAGAGAAACCTTAGACCAAAAGCTTATGCACATCAAATTGGTTTGGGAGATAAAGCAGAACCTATCACCTCGTTTGGGCTGTGTGAGGAGTCGTGACGCCTTGAACAACGCGGGGAAGCGTCGGCTCGGAATGTGATTCGGCAGGTACGAAATAGCCATATTCCACCCAAAGGGAAGGAGGGGGAACAGCTCCATGCTATTTGGTCGGCGTCGGGCGTCTCAGGTAACAAACGAGGCTTCCTACGGCTGGGCATCCTGTCGATCCCCTGCGGAGTGCGACCCCAGGTCGGAGTTGTGGACCACTTGGAGAAGGAAGATTGAGCGAGATGGTGGTGGTGTTTGGGCACCGACGGCTGCATAACAGGTAGGAGGAAGCGTGGGAATGTACCGGCCTACCTGTGCGAAATGGGGTCTGGCTTTCTTACTGGCGTTCATGGCGACACCACGTACCGTCGGCCTAGGGAGGTACATATCGATCTACCTACCTACCTAGGTCAGTATGCGGTTCGCAGGAGTATGAACATCCCCCACGAGATGTGTGTGGTAATGTATTATGATAAGAACATTACACCCAAAGTCCCCTGCTCACAACACGTCGAGCATGGCTGGCAAAATGCGGGCATGGGTTTCATGCGGGCCGGTCGGGAACGTACCATCCTAGCCTACCCGTCGACTTGTTTTTGCCTGCTTTTGCTCTCGTTAGGCTTACAGCCCAGGTCGTACGTGCTGTACCCTAGCACCTGGGGATGGGGCACCTGTCCTGACCGATGGGCGGCGGTAAATCCGACGGGCTGGCCGTGTGGGTTAAAAGAGGGGGAGCGGACGTCGGCAAGCAACGACGACGACGACACGCCGACGGGACTAATGCAGCATGGGGGACCCTCGGTGTGGAAGGGGGGTTTGGAAATTGCGACTTCACCTGAGGGGCGGGCGGGCGGCAAGCCGACGGGGCTGAGATGGATGATGCGTCAGTGGTTCTAGAGGTTGCAGGAACCACTGCGGTCGCTTGTTACCACCTAGAGGTCGATACCAGGGCGGTGCTATGCCACTTGGACGCTTCGGATTGCTGGTTGATATAGGCCAGCTCTCGTGATGTGGTGGAAGCCCAGCTTCCGTTTTTAGGCTATTCACCGAGTGCAGGCCTGAGCGAGTCTTGTTCATTCCACCAAACAGAAGAGATCTTAGTACCGGTGAAATTTGAGGAACAGGAAATTGTTTGGAGCCGGGAGGGTGGACTATGGCATGAATGATCCAAACCCATGCTGCGAACAGCTCCAATAGCTTCCCACCTGCGAGCCCGACCACACACACCCGTAGTTCATCCAACCAAAGGAACAATGTTCGGAACTTGGCTGCTGAAACCTATTAGGGCTGTCAGTGTGTCAACCGTTGAGATGCGGCAGAGCGAGGGGGGAAACAATGGCACGAAAATTGACACAATGAAGCCGGTGTGATTGTGTATGGGTTGTCTTGCATGGCACCAAAAAAAAAAAAAAGCTCAGCTGCAAGCCACGGAAGATGACGGGGCCATGACTTTGGCCTGAACGGCCCAAAACACCCCCGCCCAACAGCCAGCCTCACAGCAAGCCACAATGGGCGCCATGTCGCTTCGGTGAGAGCTTGATGCGAGGCCCAACCCGGCCAGCAAGCAGGGCTACCTGACCCGGCCCACCCATCCTCCTTCCTCTCGGGCTCCCATCTGCCTGCCAACCCCGCGCCTTTGGGCTCCGCTCGCCTGTCATGATTTATTCTTTCTTGTCTACATCCTCCCTAGCCGCAGCCAATGGATTGGGCCTGCAGTGCCGAGACATGCGTTGCAGATACGCTAGACTGATAACTTTCTTCTCCCCTTCTCCTTCTCTTTCTGCTTCTCCTCGTCTTCCTTCCAAATACCAGGCCTGTTTTCGTGGCCCAACCCTCGGCGGCTTGGATTCTGGTTTGCTCCGATTGGGGGGCTCTAGCTGCCGCAACGGTGGCGGCGCGGGCGAGGGAAGGGGGGTCGTGTTGCAATGCTAGCAGAAGCTGCGTCGGCGTCTAATGAAGTGTATGCACGTACATACAACGACGACAACAAGGTGGTAGTGCCCGGCGACCATCGCCATGCGTCGCAGCCCTCCTCTTTTCATTTTCACCCTTTATTTTGGCCCTCCTTTCCCCTTGGTCTTTCGGGCAAAGCGGACTAGGCCAGGTTGTCTTTGACTCCCGCGTTCGTCCCGCGAGAGCTAACGAACTAGCGCGTCCTTCGCTGCTGGGGCATGATGTCTCGCCCAGAACCTCCCTAAGTTCGAGAAGGCAAAGAAACTCGACAGGAAATCTCTGCTGCTTCCCACCCTGCATCGCGGCCTTCTTTCTTCTTGCCTGTGTCTCTCCAATCTCGTGCCGGGCAGCCGTGGGCTAGCTTAGGCACGAGGCGCCTTAGCTGGTAGGGACCTGTCCAGGTAGGTAGGTGTAGGTACCTTGGGATGTTTAGGTATCTACCACCCAACTAATGGGCTCAACTGCCACTGGCTGGCATATGCAGCAAGCCCTAACACAAGGTGCCGCTGCAGTGCCAAGTTTTTGCGACGACGATGGAAAGGAACAGTACGCACTGCAGGTGAGGAGCAGAAGCCAGGGTCTCTGTGGAGCCCCGCTTTTACTACAGCATGCCTGGCCAATGCTGTCGTGCTCCGTTCTCGCACTCACACTGACCGACCTGCGACCTGGCTCTTGCCTCTTTGCTGGTCGCCCGTCCTCGTCTCGTGTCTGTCTCTTGGTGCTGCTGTTGACTGCGTGCGTGTGTCGGCGTCTTCAGCCTAGGAAGAGTCGGCTGTGCTTTGCGCACCTCTGCGCTCTCCTGCGTGCCTAGATTGTCTGCGACCCTGCCTCTTTCTTTTTCGGGACCTCAGATAATTCGCAAATCAGCACACAGACACACACACACACACACGCACGCACCGGTCACCACCACCACCACCACCACCACCTGCCGCCACCACCACACACAGCGACCGCATACCTACACCCCAGTCAATCCCGCCGTCCTCTGTCCTCCCCGTCTCGCTGCTGGCTGGCCCGCCTCTCCCCTTCCAACCCCCCCCTTTTAGCGACCGAAATGGGCTACCCAGCGGTTGGTGCTTTGCGCCACATATGACGCTTTCGTCTCCCCGCCGAGCCATCGTGTCGCATTACTCTTCTACCACCTACCCTCGCCCTCTCGTATCCCAGCTCCATCCTACCTCTTCCTCTCCCCTCCCTGTCCCTTCGGCTTCGCGGCAGCCGTCGCACGAATCCCGCTTCGTTCGCCCGCCCGCAAACGCCGCGTTCGTTCCCGAGGACAAACGAGACGAGCATAAAAAAAAAAAGCACGGGGTCCCCGGATATAGCGCCGTCGCCGCCCACACCAGCAGCAGCGTTGGACCCTCGATCCACGCGCCAAACCCCACCCACGGCCCCGGACCCGTGTGTGTGTACCCACCGCTATGGTTCTGTTATCGAGGAGCACCGCACCACCATGAATCCCACGGCCCACGGGTCTTTTGGACCCCCAAGACAAATTCGCTTTGTCAACAACGAGGGCAATCCTCCGTCCAAGAGACGGAGGATCAATGCGGCGTAGGTTCAGTGTCCAATCTTTCCTTGATGCTATCTCAGGCCGAGGCCGTCTTGCTCCTCCAGTCCCCCAGGGTGGCGTGTCCCGAATCTTGCGGGTGCCGCCAAGTCTGCAGCACTCCATGAATGCTATGCGGGTCTCACTCTACCTGTCATATATGCGGGGGAATCTCTGTGCTAACAATGTGCTGTTGATCCATCATTCAGGTGTCTGACGTGTGAGTGACTTTCTTTCTCGAATGATTATTCTGTGATGATTACCGCCTTGCCGCACTTTGCAACGCACTTGGAGATGCAACCGATTGACATCTCGATTCCCTTCTTGATTCCGCACGGATGACACAGGCCGCCGTCGAAAAACCCGCTGCAGTGGGGAGCCTGGCGTCTGCTCAACATGCTCCAAAAATGGCCACGAGTGTTTGGGGTACAACGAGGCCATCGACAGGAAGAAGGTGATCCCTGGGGTCCCCAAGAAGCGGACGTCTACCGCAGATGGGGATCTGCCCGCCATCAAGAACGAGGACGACTACCTCGCCGATGACAATGACCAAGAAGAGTATGGTGCTGGGGATGCTGAAGGAGCGTCCTGGGACGAATCCGAGAGTAGGTCGTTTGAAAGTGCAGAGCCCAAGACCGAATCCAAGCGCCACCCGCTGCCCACCCACAGCCAGGCAACGGCCGGCAACCTGAAGCGATCTCAAAGCGATGACTGGCATCATGGCATGCCTCCGCCCCAACAGCAGCCTCTCAATGCAGAGAAATCACGAGGCTCGCGCACTGTTTCCTTCTTTGAGGAGCGCCACGGCCCCTCGGACGACTCGGCGACACGCCACCGCAACGAGAGCAACAGGATTCCTTACTTTCGCTACTTTGGTCGTACCGCCATTGTCCCTGGCTTCAAGCAAATGCTGGCCAACGTTTCTTACAGAGGCGGGCGGAGAAGAGGAAGCTCGTTCTCGTCCACCTCACCAAGGACCTTGCCCGAGCACCGTTCCTCCTTCACAGCCCTGAACGGGCCCACCGTGTTTGAGAACGGGGACGGCAAGCCCTCATACGATCTTGGGGACACTGTACCCGCCTACGATCCCAGCCAGCCCGAGCCCATTGACCCTCTGATCATGAGCTTGATCGAGACCTTTTTTACGCACTTGGGTTGCAATTACCCTTTTCTCCGCCGCGAGAAAATCATCCGGATGGTCAGGGAGAAGAAGGTAGAGTCGATGCTGGTAGACGTCATGTGTGCCCTGGCCACCCGCTTCGCCGACTTTCCACTGCGTGCCAACTCGCGAGACCCAAAGGAGCGGGCCGAGTATGGCAACATCTTCGCTCAGCGTGCCAAGGCGGCCACCGTGGATGCCTATCCCTGCCCAACCGTGGGTGCTGTCCAGGCTTATCTGCTGTTGGCGTACGAGTGCTTCGGCCAGGACCAGGACAGCGCGCTGTGGATGTATCTCGGAAATGCGATCCGCATGGCCGACGACCTCGGTCTCCACAGGAAGGAGGGCGTCAAATACCAGGGCGAAAAAGATGCGTGGTACACGCGGACTTGGAACATCAAGCGCAACGGCGAGGCGTCCGAGGACAAGCACGGCGACGATGACGACACTCTCAGCCCCGAGGAGCAGAGCGAGGTCGAGCAGGAGCGCATCGACACCTTCTGGGCCGTCTTTGTGCTCGATAGAGTCATATCCTCGGGCACCGGTAGGCCTGTGCGGTACAAGGACGGCGACTTTGAAATCCCGCTGCCCGAGCCGGTCATCGATCCTGTCTCCAACCTGCCGGACCCTTTCCCCTTTTTCATCCGCATAATTCACCTGTATGGGCGCGCGTCGGATGTGCTCAACAACGTTACGGACCCCAGCGACCTGACGATCAACAACTTCGACAAGGTTAAGAACGACCTGACGGAGCTCTACGAGGAGCAGGACTCGCGGCTGCACTTCAATGCCGTCAACTTCCAGGAGTACGTCAAGGCCGGCCAGGGGACTACGTTTATCCTGCTCCATTTCTGGTTCCATGCCCTCATCATCATCATGCACGCGCCCAACGTTGTCTTCTTTGGGCTCACGAGCCCGATCCAGCTCCTGCCTGACAGCCGGCAGCTGTCCATGTCGAGTGCCAAGACCATTGCCGACATCCTCTCGTTTGCCGAGATCATCGACCCCAAGAGCTTCATTGGCAACCCCTTTACGTCGCAGCCCATGTACATCGCCGCCTGTGCGTTCTTGACGCAGTCGACGTCACAATCCTCTGAGCCTTCCTCGCCCGACGCCATCTCCCCCGAGACGGGCGAGAGCAGGGGGACCAAGCACTCATTGCTGGCCCTCGGAGCGAACCAGAACTACCAGATGGTCAAAAAGTCTCTTCAGCAACTGCAACTATACTGGGGCGGTGTCAAGTATATCTTGACAGCGCTCGACCAAAAGTCCAAGGGAATCTGGGACTGCGAGACGTACACTCTTGAGGAGTATGCCATGACGAGGATATCCAGGCGCAACTCACTTGCGCCTCTCCGCCGCTTTGAGATCCCGGCCTCGCCCAGCGCGGCGCCCATCGCCTACGCCACTCTCACGGGCACCACCAACTCGCCCAATTCGAACCTAACACGATTCTATCAAAACAGCGCAAACTCAAATCACACCACTTCGAGTGTTCCTTCTCAGCTGACCCAGTTCTTCGCCGCCCCTCCCTCACACCATAATCATGGTCAGGGAAGCGGCGCCTCCGGGGCTGTGTCTGGCTCTGGGCCGCCGGTTTCGGCCATGACGCCTCCCGGGAATATGATTTACGACCCAATCCGCCAAAGCCTCCCTGAACCGCCAATGTTCCCACAGCCGCTCCCTCGACCAAGCATCTCGGCTGTGCGCTTCTCTCAGCATCAGCAGCAGGAGCCGCAGCAGCCGCAGCCCCATGCCTCCAGGTCCCACCGCCTGTCGGCGTCCTCGGCTGCCAGCAGCACCCAGGGTCGCCGGCAGGACGACAAACCGGTGATGAAGTTTGAGGCAATGAATGGCATGCTTGAAGACCCTGTGGTTGACAGCTCGCCAGCTCCGCCCAGTAATAATATGGTGACGGAGAGCAAGCTCCAGGTGCTTGCCGGGATAGCGCACGCTGGACACGGGGATGCTAATTACCACCGCCAAGGCACCTCGCAGCAGCCTTCGCACCAGGCGCCACCGCCGTCCTACACGCCATCCTCACATTCGTCCACAGCATACGAGCCTTCGGTAATACAGACGGGCACGTCGCCCGCCAACTCCCTCGTCGAGGCGGCGACCTCTGGCCACCAGCAGCAGCTGCACCACCAACAGGTTCCGCAGGGCGAGTATTCGCCGCACTTTACTCAGGCCGTCGGGGGGCTCGTCCCGGGCAACTACTACCCGCAGCACCTGGCGGACCTGGCATACCAGGAGATCACCCTGGAGCTGCCCAGCGACAACGAGGTGATGCCGCACTGGCTCGACTGCATACCGGCCCACGAGCTGCTTGGGCTCTTTGAGGGGCAGCTCGCAGGCGGGACTGGGTCGCATATGGGCTGATTTAGGTTTGATGCCTTGCTGGCCCTGACTTGTCCTGACCTGTCTTCTTCTGAGAGGGTAGACTAGAGAGGCTGCCAAGATACCCCGTCTGTTAGTCTTGGACTTGATCCTTTCTTTTTATTGTTGTTTCTTTTGTCTCACTCACCCCTTGTTTCGCATTTTGGACGGTGATATTAGTGCGATGGATCATGGATGCGAACGATGATGACGACCCTCACAAATGTTTGCTCGAAATAACTGTTTTAATTTCTGTTTTCTCTTCCCTAATCTCATCCATCTCTCCACAGACACTTGATGGCTTGCTCCCTTTGTTTACATGTTTGTTTCGGACCTTGTTGGTGACTCCTTCGGTTTCGGGTTGGGCGCTGGGAAAGGGAGCTTCCGCATCGCACGCGATTGGGATAGATGCACTAAACGGTTTAAGCTGCGGAGGCATTTGGGGGGATGAGAGGCGATGCGAGGTATGGTACATGGGTCACTGGTGTTTTGTCCTGGCACGCTCGTTTGGGTTCTACTGCTCGGTGGTCAAGGCCGAGTGGCTTGTCCGCTTCCATGTGGATAGGATAGATAGAACCTTGTAGTCGGCAGGCATTTTGACGAAAAAGAATACATGAGGATTCAAAACTGGAGGTACATGCATGGGTCTGATCACACGGTCACTCGTAGATTGAGGCAGATTGAACTGAACTTTTGCTTGAATGTTGTTTCAATATGATGGTAGCCTGGCTGTGAGATGCAGCTTGGAATTTGGTGTCCCTTGCTTTTGTATCCTGAGAAACTCTCAAGATGCAATACCAAAAAGTAACAAATCTCCGTGGTCCAAGTCTTTGTTGCGCCAGGCGGCGGGCAGGGTATCATTATTCTTTTCGTCTAGTGAGCCGACGCTTTCTTGAACCTGAGAGGTGGGAGAGTTTGGAGGTTAGTGATACAGGGTTGCATGTGATTTTGAGGGACAAATATCCTTGGGCCGACTTACTTGTTCACAACCCTCTCGATACCATCGCAGCCCATCTTGAGCGTCTCCATCTTGGGGCCGTACGAGAAGCGGACGAAGTGGTGGCAGGGCGAGTCGAACAGGTCCCTGCGGCGGGCCGGGTTGAGGTCGAAGAAGATGCCGGGCACCACGATGACCTTCTCCTCGAGGCAGGCCTGGAAGAAGTTGAGGCCGTCCGAGATGGGGTTGGGGAGCCCCTCGAGGTTGAGCCAGAGGTAAAAGGTCGAGTCCGGGACGTACTTGATGTGGAAGCCCATCTCGCGCAGGCGGGCGACGACGTAGTCGCGCTTGTCGCGGAAGTGGCGCTGCAGCGCCACCATCTCGGCCTGGACCAGGTCGGGCTCGAGCATGGGGATGGCGGCCTCCTGGAAGGCCACGTTCGTGCCGCCGTCGAGGTAGGAGCCGCACGAGCCGATGGCCTTGATGAACTCCTTGGGGCCGATGATCCAGGCGACGCGCCAGCCGGGCAGGCGGAAGCGCTTGGTGAGGCCGTCGATGATGAGCACGTCGTCCTCGTCCACGTCGATGACGTTCTCGGCGGTGCTGATGGTGGTGCCGTCGCAGTTGCTCGTGTAGTTGTAGCCCGAGTAGAACTCGTCCGACACGAGCGTGGCGCGCTCGCGGCACAGGTCCTGGATCTCGGCCAGCTCCGGGTTGGCGACGACGCGGCCCGTGGGGTTGCGCGGGTTGGACGTCAGGATCACGCCCGTGCCGCGCGCGATCTCCTCGGCGATCTTGTCCGGGTGGATGTGGTAGCCGTCGTCCTCGGACAGCGGCACGGGGATGGCGGCGAAGTTCTTGAAGAGCGAGAGCATCTCGTTGTAGGCAGTGTAGTCGGGGATGAAGAAGCCGACGTAGGCGTTGTTGAGCACGGCCGCGATCCGGATCAGGCCGGCGCGGCCGCCGGGCACGATGGCCACGTTCTCCCACGTGTAGAGCGAGTCCTTGCCCTTGCGGTGGTGCTCGTTGTACAGGTGCGCGACGGCCTCGCGCAGGGGCTTGATGCCGGCCGTCGGGCCGTACTCGCGGCTGTTGAGCGAGATGTCGATGGTGCTCGGCCGCGGGAAGCAGCCCTCGATGTCGTCCTCCACCTCGGGCGCGCCCTGGCCCAGGTTGGCCCACTGCTCGGGCTCCTCGAGGAAGCCGAACTCGGACGCGCGCTCCGTGCACCACACGACGCCCGTCGAGGCCCTCGTCGCATCGAGCCCGGCGTGGGGGAGGTGGCCCTCGTGGGCAGCACGGAACTGCCTGTGGATCTTGCTGCTAGCCTCTATTTTTTTTTTTTGGTTGTCGTTTGTCAGTCTTCTTCCTATTTTAGTCCCGTAAAGCACCCGGGCAGCCAAGACGGCGTGCCAAGCCCAGCGGCGCCGGGCTGCTTAGTTGCCCGCCACCGCTGACGCCGATTTACCCCGCTCCGCGTTTGGGAAACTCGACAGGCAAAAATCAGTCTTCACTCACCACTCTGGCTAGGCTCTCCCATAGAGAATCGCCGGGCGGGCTTGGGAATGCCCGTATGGCGGTTGATGCTGAACTTGCGGTTGCCGAACATGATGGGCAACTAATTGTTCCGTGACCTTTGGTTTGTGCGGTGGTGGATGGGAGCCAGAAGAGGTCGCTGTGAGAGCCCCTCGATCGTGCGCGACGTGGGTGTCGCCTTTATATATTGGCCACAGGAAGCGCAGCAGAAAAGGGGCGAGCTAGCAAGGGAGCTCTACAGCTGGGATGCTGAAAGAGCGAGTAACGCGGATGGGCTCGGGGACGGACCTGACAGGGCGGGACAGGCTGCGGATCCGTTTGTGGTTTGTGTCTCCCGTGGAGGGGAGGCCCAAGGTGGGGGGATAACACAGAAAATCAGAGCTGTCCGAATCGAGCTGGAAAGGAAAGCATGCACGCATGAGAAAAAAACCAGGAACAAGAAAAAAAGAGTTCGTCTAGATAGCCGACGACGCCACTTGCACTTAAATATCGCAGCCTTTCCCGCTTCGCCTGCCTGACAGACAGAGTGTTGAAAAAGGAGGCAAGAAGGCCATCACAAGCAACGTCGTCCGCCTCTCTTCCCCTCACAGCCTGCACAAGCTCCTCTCCAGCTGATGTACGCACGCAACCGTCTCCGTTTTGGCGGTCAGGCCGAAGCGGCAAGTCAGAGCCAAGTCAGGGATCCGGGATGGGTGTCGCCTCCATCGTCATGCATACGCCGCAATGCATCGCGACGAATCGAAACCCGGGGGGTTGCTGGCCTCTGCGCTGTTGGACAGAAACCGGTCCTGGGATCGGCTCCTGGCATACACGAGCACGCACACAGAGAGGTCTGGCTGTAGTCCACTGTCCACCAACAGGGTGTCTCCCTAGAGTCGGTACTCGGTAGCCCGGATGACCAAGAGGCCGTCAGGAGTCCAACAAACGCAGCGTCGGGGATGTGAAATCATGGGTATAGCTGGGGGGCATATAATACAAGGTACCGATAGTTTGCTGTCAAAACAGACGAATAATAGAGCCGGAAAGGGACGCCGAGACGCTAGCCTCCAACGCCAGGTACCAAGAAATTGGGCTTTGGGATTTGAGGCGAGCTTTGTCCAAAGCTGGGGTAAACAGCGAAATGACCCCTCACTGCTGTTTGCTGCTGTGCTACTGCAGTGACCGACCCCTCCAAGGCGACGCAGAGTGAGCGACTCAGGGAAGCGGAACAAACGTGGGGCAGCGGGTAGAAGTCACACCAGCACAGTCACATCACGTATTTGCCAGCCCCAGTGGCGCAAAGTGGCTTAACTATCGTAGATGAACGCGACTTGTAGCCATAGCCGCGAGCTCCAAAACAGCCCCGGGCGGCGGTTGGCCAGATGCGGTGACCCAGGAACCCGGTAGGGCTGGTTTTCTGGCGAGGCTGCCGAGGTTGACAACTGGAATCATTACTCCGCGTGCCAGCCCGGCGGCTCGAGGAACTCAACCTCTTTTGTGGCGTGAGACCCCATCGTCAGGAGGCCAATCAATATTTTTCATAGGGATAAAATTTTGGCCGCCTTTCCTCTTCGGGACAAGGCTTGATCGCGTTAGCCAATCAGCTTTATTCTTACTCAGCGTGAAGCCTCGAAGACATCGCTAGCTGCGCCTTGCGCCGCAGCAGCTTGGGGGCTGAGTGAGGTATGTGGATCAACGACATCAGCGCCGTAGATTAAACATCGCCGCTTCAATATACGCTTGGAATGAGGCCGCATTGAGGCCCATTATTCGCAAACACTCGCCTCGAGGCACTCTTGAAGGCACTCTTGAAGGCACTTTGACGGGGATGGGTGACAAGCGCCGCTATAAAGGCGAGAGCAATCTCCATTCATGCCCATGCCAATCCGGAAGAAGCAAGTGCCACTTACAAACAAACAAACAAACAAGCGCCTGCCACATCAAACGAGGACGTGCGCAACTTTAGCTCACCCACTCTCGTAACACAAGTGCTGTCCATTTGAGACGGACCCCACTCTGACTTCACCATGTCCGCAACCTTCACCAGAACCCTTTCATTCTGCCACGACGACACCCCACCCCACAGAATGTCGGAAAAGAAGAGCTTCCTGAAGAGCCTCAGCGGTCGCTTCTCCATGAAGAAATCCTCCAACCCATTCGCTGCCAGCCGGGGTCAGCAGGCCGGAGTCCCAGACGCGCCGCCTCCGGCATACTCGGCCCAACCCCAACCTCTAGCCCAGGCCCCCGCCACCGCTCCCCCCGCCGCCGATCCGGGCGCCGGCCCCTTCCTCACGCCCTACCGCCAACAGACGGCCGGGTCCGGCTTCGAGCTGAGCAGCGACGACCTGTCGTCCAGCAGCGACCCCTACGCCTTCCTGTCCCGCTTCGACACCGTCTTCCTCATCGACGACTCCAGCTCCATGACGACGGGCTCGCGCTGGGAGGAGGTCAAGACGGTGCTGTACCAGATCGTGCCCGTGTGCGCGCAGCACGACGAGGACGGCATCGACATACTCTTCCTCAATAACCCGGCCCAGTTCAACGGCGTCAAGAACGCGTCCGCCGTCGCCCAGGTCTTCGACACGGTCTACCCCTCGGGCATGACGCCCACGGGCAAGCGCATTGGCGAGATCCTGGGCCCCTACATCGACGAATACGCCGTCAAGGCCGCGAGAAAGGGCGCCAAGAAGACGGGCATGAAGCCGGTGAACCTCATAGTCATCACGGACGGCGCGCCCACGGACCGCGCCGGCTTCAAGGTCCACGAGGTCCTGCACAGCGCCGCCCGCCAGCTCGACCAGGCCGGCGCCCCGCTCTACCAGGTCGGCGTGCAGTTCTTCCAGGTCGGCGACGACGCCGTCGCCCGCCGCGCCCTCGAGGACCTCGATGATGACCTCGGCGGCCTCGTCGCCGGCGGCCAGCTGCGCGACATTGTCGACACGTGCACCTTTGACGCCACCGACGGCAACGTGTCGGTGCTGACGTCCGAGGCCGTGCTCAAGACGGTGCTCGGCGCCGTGGTCAAGCGCTTCGACGACCAGGTGCTTTATGATGGCAGGTAGTCTGAGGGACATTGCATCACTTGCCGCCCCAATACGCTTCTTCTTGTTTGCCGTTGCTAGATTATGACTTTAATCCCGCTCCTAAACCTCTACATGTACTGCGGCTTGGGGGGCGTTTCTGCTTTATGGTATCTGCATTAAGGGTGGCCAAAGGCGGACTATACCCAGGAGGAAAGATTGGCATGGCGTTCCGGAGGCACACCGAAAACCGGGAATATCCATGGGTCAGGCTCAACCTCGATAGAATGCCCAACAAATAAACCTAAGTTTCATTTTCTTATACGAAACCATTCATTTCGCAGATTATATCATTTGTGAATTTGTGAATAGCGATGTTTGGTTTATAGCACAGCACTTGGTAAAAAAAAGATGGTTAAAGGTAAAAGAGAAGAAAAAAAAGAATGTGAAGTAAGGGACATCCCAGGTTCCACCCCCATGGGGGCTCGAACCCGGGACCTCCCCCCGGGGACCGTGGGATCCAAGCCGCAGAGCTTATGTCGTGCGTACCACCTAGACCACCGCTATCCCCGGGCACGGAGGTAACTGCACCAAACCAAGCTTATAAGGGAGGAGGGCCCACCGCCTTATCATTTCTTAGCGCGATAGCCGAGGGTGTCTTTCACACATAGCTCAGATAGGCGTTAACTCGGAATTTAAATACCTACCAGGTAGCCATTAAACTCGGATACCCACTACTAGCCCAGAGTTTGAATAGCCGTCACCGATAAGGTAACGGGTATTATTCTACTACTGCCCTTGGCAAAGGAGTTTCAAAATCTCACTACTGAAGCAGTTGGCCGTTGGGATGTGTGATTGTTTGCTAATCTCAAAAGTGGCTTGCGTCCATTCTGATGCAGACAGACGTCTCACCATTCACTACCACTTATCCCCCACGCGGGATAAAGAATAAAAGAAAACTCTAGCAAGTACAAAAACAACGCCAAGGTCCAAACCCGACCCGCCATGTCCATCCTGGTATCACACCGCAAACTGCTGCGCCATGGGGCTGGGGCTGAACAAGAAAGCCCTGCGAGGCGCAACCCGAAAACCCATCCTGAGAACACAGCCGCCGACCCGCCGAGACTGCCGGTGTAAAGACGGCTAGAATTCGGGAAGAATTCGGGCAATACGACAAATAAGGTAGTTGTGTGGCCCGGGGGAAACAAGAACCTGTAGCGCCCACCTCGGCTTTGGTGAAAATAAAGAACAATAAAGAACCTCCAGGTGCCAACACAAAGCTAAGATGCTTGTGAGACATTCTCCTTCCACCGGGCCGCTCGAGTCGCCCATCCGAATCAGCCAGTGTGGCTGGGAGCTTAGGAGTAGGGGACAGCGTTTCCTTGTCGTGGATCGCCGTGCCAAGTAGGAAGAGGACAGCGCTAAGAAATAAAACAGCAAGAAGTGGAAACATTAGACAGAGAAGTCGGTTTTTTTCCTGTTGAGAAGGCCGCGTGGGGTTGCTGGCCAGAGCGTTGATAGAGCGCTCCTGGTCGATAGCCCCTGCCGATGTCGCAAGGTGAGGTGAGACATCTTGGCCAAATGTGCTGGATCGAATTGTTGAAAAGGGTTGACAGTGCGAATAAGCCTCCTTCCCAAGAGTGGTACTATCCGACGCTGCGTCGGTTTTCCTGGTGAAGAGGGTGGCAAGACATGAAAGAGGAAAGAGAAAAAAAAACATTAGAAGAACAGAATCGCGAGGTGGTATCAAGAGTCGCCCGGGTATCAGAGAGGCAAGAGAGTACGTCAGGAACAAAGGTTCAGATCGATGTTGCCTTCTCGTAGGGCATCATCATCTTGTCCCGGTACAAGCAAGACGGAAGGACTCCCCCACCCCCCTGCCAGCTCAAGCCATGACCAGGACCTTGGCCTTTGCGATGATGCGGTGCTCGGGCCCGTCGCCCGAGTCGTCGCGGACGGCGACGGACGGGGTGACGACGCACATGATGCGCCAGTGCATTGCGTGCAGCTCGCGGGGGTCGCGCGAGCTGTTAATGGGGTGGTGGTTGCGGCGGGCGAACCTGGCGCCCGTGTCGGAGAAGCCGAAGGAGAAGGACAGGCTCGAGCTCAGCACGCGCGCAGACGTCTCGATGGCGTTGACGGCGATGCTGTACAGGTCGTGGCTGGCCGCCGTCCGACTGACGCGGTCGTCCATGAGGGGGCCCACGATGTCCTTGAAGCGGTTGACGCACGCGTTGATGCGCATCTGCCGGAACCGCGGCCAGTCCGGGCCGGTCAGCAGGCGCGCCACGCACTCGGCCCGCGCCACCTGCAGGGCTTGGCGGTTGTGGCGGGACAGGCACATCTCGGGAGGTCCGTCGGTCGCGGTTTCGTTGCTGTTGTTGTCTTTGCTGCTGCGGCCGTTGATGATGCTGGCGCCCATGCCGCTCGTCGCCTTGGAGATGAGCACGTCGCGCGTGCCCAGGACGATCTGCAGCTCGGCCGTGGAGCGGTCGTTGACGCCGAGCCACGACTCGGTGCGGAAGACGTCCATGACGACGTACTGCAGCAGCAGGCGGCAGATGAAGTAGCAGCGAATCTCGGGGTCCGACAGCAGGAACTGCACGTGCGAGGCCGCGCGCTCGGGGCCGTCCGGGTACGCCACGCTCAGCATGTAGGCCCACAGGCGCGGGTACGAGGCCGCGATGCCCGAGTCGGCCGCCGGGTTCGGCACGCGGCAGTTCTTGCGCACCCAGCCCGCGAACAGGGTGAAGACCTGCTCCAGCTCGCGCCGCCACTCGCGCCCGACCTTGTCGAGGTCGAGGCCGTCGTCGGCCGTGAAGGCGGCGGCGCTGTTGTCGTCCTGATCGCGGTCCTCGCCGCGGTGCGGCACCAAGGCGTTGCTGTTGTTGGTGTGATTGTTGCCAAAGTTTCGGCCGCTTCCTCCACCGCGGGGTCCGTGGTAGTTGCGCTGGCCGTGGTGGCCGTGATTCGGGGGCCGCGAGGGGCCGGCACGGTTGTTGCTGTTGTTGCTGTAGTAGCCCGTGTTCTGACGGCCATGGTTCTCCTTGTCCCGGCCGTGGTCCCGAGGTCCCGAGTAGTTCGCGTTGTTGTTGTTGTTGTTATGCGACGGACCATGCATCTGAAAGGCGCCACTGCCACCGCTGTTGGCGTTGTTGTTGCCACCGGAAGGCGGCGGGTGCGCGGCACCGGCACCTCCCTCGTCGGGAAGCCGCGGCGTGATCTGGCCGCGGAACGGCGTCGGGTCGCGGGGGCGGATGTTGGACGCTGACGAAGATGGGTGGAGAGACGAGTCGCCCGACGGGCTGCTGACGTCGCCCTTGTCGATGTTGCCTACACCCCCGTTATCGTCGCCCTTCTTGAGGTCCGAGGTGCTCCGCGGAAAGTCCATGTTGTTCTTGAGCAGCGGGATCGGCGAGCCGCCGTCCTCGGGCTCCCAGTAGCCCGAGCGGCCGTCGCTGATGGCCCCCGGCAGTTTGCCGGCGGGGCCCTGCTCCTGGACCGTGGCCCTGGTGCTGGCGTCAGGGCCGGGCGTGCTGCCCCCCCGCGCCTGTTGCTTGCGCTCGAGGGCCTGCGCCAGCTGGCGGGGCGTGGGGCCGATGGCGGGAGCGTCGCGGTGCTGCTGCTGGGGCTGCTGTTGTTGCTGCCCGTGGGCCGAGGACTCGGAGCCGTTGCCGCCGTAGGCCGAGGATCGCAGGTCGTCGAGGGCGGCCGCGCGCCGGGCCGCCTGGATGTTGCGGCCGCGCTGTCGGGCGGGGCTCTCGGGGCCCGACTCGGTGGCGCTGGTGGCCGCGTGGGCCTGCATCGTGAGCAGCTGGACGCCGCCGTTGTTGTTGTTGTTGTGCTGGCTTATGCTACTTCCGCTGTTGACGCCCGGGATGAAGCTGGTGCCGCCTCCGGCCTGGTTTTGGCGGTACGGGACGCTCGAGGAGTTGCGATATCCTGAGTGATCGTCGGTAAATCGAACGTAGCCGCCGCGGGAGCCGCTATAGTAGCCACGGCCGCCGCGAGAGGCGCTGCCGCGTAGGGAAGCGTTGCCGAGCCGAGTAGACTGGTTGCGGCTGTTGGTCGAGCTGAAACGGTGCATGCCCTGAAGAAGGAAGAAGGGGGGTTAGTTACCAACCATCATTGACATTTTAAGATATAAAGTATCCAAGGAAAGAAGGCAAGGCGCGATAACATCGATAGAAAAGGCCGACTCACATAGCTGGGTGGAACGTCATGCTGGTCAGGACGACGCCTCAGATCGCCGATGACCTGCGAGTAGGACGAAGGCGGCTGGACTCCACTGCCACCACCCGCGCGCGGTCCTCCACGGCCCGATCCGTCCTGGTACGCGGCCGCAGCGGCCGTGGCGGCGACGAGCTCTGCCTGGGCCTGGCGGAGCTGGCGACGCAGCCGCTCGACCTCGGCGGCCGCGGCGTCGCGCTGCTCAGCGATGGCGGCCATGAGGTTGGCCTGGCCCATGATGTCGCGCACCACGCGCTGCTCGAGCATGTCGACCGTCAGGCGGATGTCTATCAGGCAGTCGCCGACGCGTCTCGCGCGGGAGAAGTACGTCATCTGCGAGTACTCGCGCAGGCCATCCTCGCGCTGGAGCTCCTCCTGGAGCGTGAAGCAGATGGGCACTGCCTCGGCGCAAGCCGTCCGGATTTTCTGATGGGGGAGGTTGGTGGTCGTCAGCATGGCGTAGGTTATGATGGAAAGGAAGAGAGATGATGATGATGATGATGATGATGATGATGATGATGATGATGATGATTTGATGCATGAGATGAGCTTACGCTGAACATTTGGGGCGGCGGGATCTCGCCTGGTGCCTGGCCACCATTCATCCCACCAGAAGCAGAGGCGGGTACGAACTCGGGCGGGAGTCGATACTGCGGGCCCTTTTGCCGCGTCACCGTGGGCTCACCAGCACTTGGCTGGTCCTCGCTGGCCATGTTGCCGGTCATATCCGCGTCGAACTCAGTGTTGAAGATGAGCTGCTGCACCGGTGTCGATGGCAGCGGAGCAGGCGCGGGCGGCGGTGTGCTCGTGTGCTCCGGCTCGTTGTCAGCGTCCTCGTCGACGTTGATGGATCTGCCGCTGCGCGTGGTGATGGGGTTGTCGTTGGGGAGACGGGCGCCGCCACCAGGCGACTGCGAAGAATCAGCGTTGTCCTCGCTGCTCATGGCGTCTTTCCCATTGGTCTGCGTGGAGTTGGTTGGGGGTGGCCAGCCTGGATGGGGCCCGAGTAGAAACACAAGCGATGGAGAAAAAAGAAACGAAGGACACTAACTGGCAAGGATGATAAGATTGCGCAAAGAGAACGAAAGACTTTGGGGGATGGTAACCAAGTGGGGAGGTTGAGGTTGGTGTGTGTGGTATGGAGGGAAGAGCTAGGTCTAGCCCTGACGAGTTTGGGCTGGGGAAGAAATATGTGCGTCGTCCTTGTTTGTAAACAAGAGAAGCTGAGAGTCTCTCAGACTAGCCTCACGCTCGCCTCACTTCTTAGCAGCACCGACACTCAGATTCCCTCCAGATCATTGCGACTCGCCAGGAAGTTCCCAATCTGAGACATAGAGGGACGAGAGAGGTGGCAAACCGAGCACTCTGATATCTTTGCCACCAAGGCCAGGCGTTGCACCAGACCACCGAGATGACCATTTGCCCCTCTGGCAATGAAGCTGCCACTAACAACAGATTGTAGTATGTCTAGGGAGAGATGAAGGACCATACTAGTAAGGTTTGGTCACTTGATGCTCGCACACATTGTAAAACTACGTTTCGTACGGCCGCGGCCGCTTAAGCTGTGGCACTCATCAAAGTATCAGATGCAAGAGAACTACAAGCAAGAGTTGGCGATGCGGCTTCCCAAGTCCACAACAGATGCCTAGTTTTACTATGCCACCGGATGTGCGGAGGAGCTTTGTTCGTTTCTATCGACATCTACCAAAATACTCAACATGGTAACAAGCAAACCACAGCGCCTACCAGATGCACCTGCCCATTACTGGAGGTGGGTGAGAAAACAAGCGAGAAAAAAAAAAACGCGAAGCAGGCCTCCATTCCAAACGGGAACAGCAACTATTTCATGTGCCTAAGTGCCAAGTATCAGTATTGGAACCTCGGCGGCGGGTTCGGGGTCTCAGCCGCCAGGCATCTCGAGCATCCTGATTAGGGAACAGCAACTGGGGGCTTGAGATACTGAGCCAGACATGTGGCATTGTTCGACTTATTCGGCGCGGCAGTCGGGAGCCAGATCTGGCGGGTTCCAGTGGACGCGAGGCGACGCGTACGAGTGGGATCGAGATCTGTGACAAGGTAGCCTAGGAACGTGTCCTGCTGATGGGGGTATTGGGGGCAAAGGGGGGAATGAGGTCGTGGTCGCAAAATCATGAGTCGAAATCGAGAAAAAGTGGTCGCTCTCCAGAGGGAGATTACAAGACGAGGTGCAGGCCCGGTCGATAGTTTGGACAGAGTTGCCGTGTGCGGGATCGTGGCCAAGGTTCGGGGTTCCGGTACTGCTGAACGCGAGTGTGAACAAGAGGAACCGATGTGGGATAGCCAGACCGAGCGAGAGCATACCATGGACAGAAGCCCTATAGCTGCCCTGCTACTGCCGATATTAGTCTCGTCTCAGATGGCCTTTGTGCGGGAAAACAGGCTGCTGTAGACGGCGTCCACAACAGGTGCAGCTGTGATGATGTTTCCGCCGAAGTAGCGGCCGTTCAGGCCCTTGATGGCGTTCTCGCCGCCCTGCACCTTGTCGAATTTGAGATAGATATCTCCGTTCGAGTTGGGGTCAACGGATATGTGCACTACGTGCCCATACTTCTTCTCGGCCTCTTCACGCACGTCGTTCTCGAGATCCTTGATCCAGTCTTCACCCGACTCCCTGCAAACGGTGACTGGTTAGCATGTGGTGTTCCCAAAGCGAGAGACATGGAGGCAGGCAAACGTACTCGGCGGGGTCGAACATGTTCTTGAGCAGGACACACCGGCTCGCCATGTTCACGTTGACCGGTAGGGGCTTAATCTCAGTCTTGGGCTTGAGGATCTGCTGTCGCTCCGGCGGGGCGCTCGAAGCCTCGTCAGTTCTTGCCAGCTTGCGCATGAGTGCATCGCGGCTGTAGCTGTTAAAGTTCACACCCGCGACATCTGTGTCGTCCAGGGCACTGGCGCCACCGCCCTTGTCATTATCGCGACCGCCGGCGCGGTCGAAGTTGGAGGACTGGGGTCCGTTTGCTTGGCCGTTACGACCCGGGTAACCTTGTCCTTGGTTTCCTCCGTTCGTACCCGGGTACCGCTGCATGATGTTGGCGGTGGATTCTGGGGTGAACTTATCGTTTCCAAGGCCCACACGGATCGGACGACCTGCCAGGTCGAATCCGTTCATCTTTTCCAGAGCCTCACGTGCATTGGCCGGATCATTGTACCTGGAAACGTCAGCCTGGGCGAAAACATATCGAGATAGCAAAGCAGTTTGGGTAGACTCACTCAACAAATCCATAGCCGCGGCTTCGGCCGTTGTCCTCCTTTTGGAGTTGGACAAAGCGAAGTTCTCCGAATGGCCCGAAGACCGTCCTAAGGTCGGGTTCAGTGATGCTGAAGTGGATGTTGCCGACATAGAGGCGGTGGAAGAGAACCGAGTTCTGTTGGGCCCCGTTGGCGTTGCTGTTTTCCGTTGTGCGGACCTGCCTGTTCTTCTCCGCCTCTGTCGGCTGAACGATGACTGGGATACCTGCAAGCTTCTGGCCAGTAAGTTGGAGCGCAGCAGGAAGAGACTCCTCGCTCTTGAATTCAACGTATCCAACACTGTAAGGGAGGCGTTAGCAATGAATTCTGCCCAAGAAAGACGCCGCGTGTTTAAATGCGACGAAGGCGAAGAAAAAAAGTCCGTCGTCACGTACCCCTTGGATCGGTTGCTGACGCGGTCCTTGACGATCTGAGCAGCGGCGACGGGGCCGGCCTGCTCGAAGAACTCGTGTAGCTCCTTGGTCCTGAGTCTGGCAGCGAGCTGTTGCACAAAGACAGTGCGCCTGTCCCGCTCATCTTCAGTCAGCTGGGCGGGTGATCCATCTCGGCCGCGGCTACCTGCACGTCGACCGCGCCGGTCATTGCCATAGTCGCCACCACGCCGGGAACCTCGACCACCATGGTGGTCATCGTCGCGGTCACGTCGGCCATCGCGGGGTCGGTAGTATCGATTCGGGGACCTCGAGCGGGAGCGGTCGGCCTTGTCGCGGCGATCTCCACCACCACCGCCACGCCCGCCGCGGTAGAAGTCGCCATCACCACCTCGGTTGCGGCGCGAGCGTCGACCTCCGCGGTCCCGGCTGTGGCTTCGGCGGCGGCCACTCCTATGGCTCCCTGCGTCGCTGCGCGACGTGCGGTCGTTGTCGCCGCTGTGCGGGCTGTAGCTGCCGCTTCGTCCACCGTCACGGTCGCGATCGTCGCGCCGGTCCCTGCGGCGGCGGCGGTCGCGCGACGGGTCGTGGTCGTCACGACGCTCGCTCCTGTCGCCGCGCTCGCTGCGGCTGCCATTCGAGCGGCGATTGTGAGTGTCGCCATTGGTGTCGTTGTCACCCAGCACCGTCGCGCTCCTGGGGCTATCCGCATTCGCCGCGGCGTTCTCCAACAGCGCCTCCACGTCGAGTGTCGACATTGCGGATGGAGTTGGTTGTGACTTTCTCGTCAGCACTTGGGATCCGAAGATTGCGCCACAGGTGATGGTGACACGGCTGAAAGTAAATTGTTTGTACGATTCTAAGGGAGGTGTCAATTAGCGACGTCGAGGCCCTTTCGCGCACGCGGATGGTTTGATGCAGCGACCCGACGTTGAATCTGGGCGGGGGTGATGTGCAGGGAAGTTGAAAAGAAATGACAGCCGCGGAAAAAGTTGGCGGGTGATTAGGCCGTGTTGGGTTGCGTGGTGGAGACACGAGACGGAGATTTGTGGGAATGCATCACGTGATTCGGGCTAAATTAGCGCTGCTGTCGTGCAGATTCGCCCAGTTAGGAAAGAGCCCCCGCCGTCGAGCATGGTTGTCGCTGCGCGTGAAAGCGTGGCACATGCGGGCGAGGGCCATTCGAGACCACAACCTACAGCCCATGGTTCGTGGAACTGTCTGGCGATTATCATGCAGAGGGCAGTTGAAGGCCAGAAACCACCGTGCAGGACTGGGTGCACAAATATTTGCAGCTTAGAGGCGTAAAGGCACATGTCGTGGTATCCATTCCGTCCGTCGCAACAGAATCCTCACAAGAGAGGGGAGTTCTAGCTGTCTCTATTTGATATCATCCAAACGCCGCCTAACCAAGGCATAGAGTATTACAATTATTAGCTACCAGAGGCGGTCCGCACCTTGGTCCAGTGCTATAGGAGTCCCACGCTACTTAACCCGTTCATGATGACCAAGAACACCACCCCGCCCAGACACATGAGCATGCAAGACAAGCGCCACCCCCGATCACCTTCAGTGACACGCTCTAGATCAAGTGAATAGAGGCCTGCGAGACTTGAAGCAGGAGAAGCCCAGGAGAAGTTGGCTACTTGGTCTTGACCAGCGGCACGATCTCGGTACCGAACACGCGGTCCCAGAAGCGGCTGGTGACACCGAAGCCGTTCTCGTAGTCGAGGAAGTGGTGCTCGAGGTGGTACTTCTTGAGCCCCTTGTACCACAGAGGCAGATTGCGGAAGTGGAGAAAGTAGTGCGTGAGATCGTAGCAGATGTAGCCGAGGATGCCACCACAAAAGATGGTTGTGGCGACATGCCAGGCTGGAAACAGGGCATGCGCCAGCTTCCAGAACGGGGTTGCCAGCACCGAAAAGAGCGCCGGGGGCATCACTAGTCGGTACTTGTCCATCGGGAGGTAGTGATGCACGCCGTGGAGAAGAAAATGCGCTGTGATGGCGAAGCGGTTGTCAGGGAGGTAGCTGGATTGAAGGTAGTTTATATGTTAGCTATCTCAAGGCACTGAGACACTTCCCTATGGAGAAGAAGGGGGAGAGCATACCCGTCAAGATGGAACAGGAACCGGTGAAGCACGTATTCGATAATAGTCCACAGGCCGAGGCCAGTTAGGAAGAGTGCAACCTGGGACATCCCATTCTCGAAGCCGGGGTTGGCAAGGTAAAGACCATAGCAGACGGGCGGCAACCACACCGTCGGCACGAGCCACCAGGGCGTCAGACTGAGGGGTTCGAGGAAGTTGCCAAAGATGGGCGCCGAAGCTCCGCCCTTGTAATGCCGTGGCCTGTGCACCTGGTCCAGGTAAAAATCTTTGCTGAATCCGCCAAAGAAAACCTGAAGCAACAGTGGCTTGCTGAGATCCAGAAACTTGTGCTTCTTGTAGTCGTCGGTCAAGTCCGTCTCCTTGTTCAGGTCCTCCTCGCAAGACATGCCCGTGCGCGGGTGAACCGCCCGGCCCTTTGCGTCAAAGAGCTCGGGCTCGACGCCAGTGGCGGCGCCGTTGGCTTTGCCATTAGCCTTTCCGTTCGCTGCCGACCCGTTGGTCTTCTTTGTCGATGCGACGAAGCCGACGAGCGACTCTTCAAGGATCTCGTAGGCGGCATCCGAGTGGCGATGCGAGTCCTCGTCCTTGAGAATGGCTGCGACGTCCTTGCCGCCGTACTCGAGGACCAGATCCGCGCCTCCCGGGTGGGACTCGAGAAAGTCGGTCACATCGTAAACGTTTTGGCCGATGGTAACGTAGCAGGATTTGCTGGTATTATGCGACTCAACCTCGGCTGGAGTGAAGGTTGGCAGCGTGCGGGAAGGCATTCTGGATCGGGGCTCGATGGCGGTCTGGTGGTGTCGGCGGACTTGTCGGACTGTTGGCGTTTTTCAGGCCGCAGCGAAGAGGATACAGCCAGGTGATGCCCAGCGAGGCCAGATGGCAGTGAGAAAGACAACAAAGAGCCAGAGCGACCCAAATGACGAGCGGAAAAGAAGGAGAGATGCGCGGGAGGTTCAAAGTGTGTAGAGATAAACACCGGGCAAGATATGAGGGATAGCACTCATACTAAACGGCAACCATAGGGATTTTTTCCCGCCCACCTTTCGAGCGGGCAATAGGGGCAGCTTTCAAGGTGTCTGCAAATGGGGACGCGAAATGAGCATTCGCCGCGAAAACGGTCGAGGGTGGCGTTATCCTGCCCGATAAGTGGCCCGATAAGTGACGCAGAAAAAACACCCCTGTCTAGCGTTGCATGATCGACTTTCACCGCTGGGGATTCTTCGGCAGAGCGGGAGATGAACGGGCCCGGCGGAGTGGAAGCCCAGGCAGATATTTCCATCTGATAATTCTCGTCGCAGACATGGCATGGAAGAGCTGCACCAATTTAACTCTAAATGGTTTGCAATGGCGCTTGCAGGTGTTGCATTGGCGTGGGATGAAGAGCGGCTTCTCACATGCATGGAAAAGTCGTTGGATTGGTTTTCGACGGAGGATATCGCAGGATCCTTGGTCGCCAAATTGTCCGGGTAGTTATCACGCACATTATGGGCAAGGGATCCCTTGAACGGCTTGAACGGAAAGCCCACAGGCAGAATTTTGTCTGACATGCTCTGGTTGCTCGCGCATCAACGAACATGGCAGGCAGCCCTCGTCTCTGGCGTCAGCCCGCGCCCCCAAGTTCGGTTGACGCAATGTGGCCAGGGTGGCTGGCATGCATTGCTGCGCATTCAGGTGAGCCACCTAGGTGCCTCTAGACCATCTCAGACTGGAATGGCTTGTCGCGGACAGGAAGCGGCTGACGGCAGCGTTGCTGAGAAATAGCGGTGGAGCTGTAATTTGTATCTGGACTGCCAGCTTCCCTCCTGCGCTGCTTCATTCTTATCTCCCCAGCTTCTTGCCTGTACTGAGTGGAACCCCACCTCCCGTGATCGCAAAAGTCGCCGCTCAGACGTCATCCACCAGGAACTGCAATTCGAAGCTTTTCGCTCTCCACAAGGCGGGGACCCCCTCCTTGGCTTACCTCGACTGTCTCCCTCCCAGCGCGACTCTAGAGGACAGTTTTAGTTTTGTTTTGGGCGACGTTCGCGAGCTCATCCCAACTCTTACTCCTTGAATTCTTTTCCTCCCGCCACACTGCGCCCTCTCCTTACCACGTTTCTTGGACACTACTTCCCGACCACTGTCGCGCGATGGCGCCGACCTTCCAAGTCCAATGGAGCACCGTGCTTCTTGTTCTGGGCATCATGCTCGTCGTAATGCCCGGCAAGGTGGCAGCGTTCGGTGCCGGAAACATTCCTTCCATCGCGCAGGTCGAGGGCCACAACTGGCGACACGGCGGTATGCCCCTGTCGAAACTCCATTGGGCACCCCGAGCTCTTTCAGCGATTCGTGAATGGTCAGCTAACAAGAAGCCACTCTAGATATCGAGGATGTGCTCCAAACGCTGTTCTTCCTCGGGGGCAAGAAGTGGAAATCGAGGGAGATCTCTCGCGTCTACTACGGCAACTGGCTGCGCGATTACTCGCAGGCCGTCGACGTCGGCACTCTCAAAGGCGTCAACTCCGCGACCATCCGCATCCTCGTCTGGGTCCTGTCCTTCCTGTCCTTCGGCTACGCGACTGAGGAGTACGAGACCACTGAGGAGCGTCTGGGCGTCTATCGTCCCGAGGAGCATATCGACAACCCGCTGGGCTATGCCGACGACCTCGACGCTCGGAAGTTCGACCCTCGCCTACGGGGCCCCGTCGACCCCCGTGAGCTCGAGATTGACCCGCGCACCGGCATGAAGAACTACATTGCCAACGAGAGCGGCGGTTGGGCAACCAGTGCTGGCTACCTCCGCTGGAGTTTCGCGCGCAGCATCCACTTCGGTCGAGTCTACACCAGCGGCGCGCGATCTGGCCGCGACGAGGACCTTTGCGAGGCCCTGAGGTGCCTGGGTCAGGCCCTGCACTGCATGGAGGACTTCCCTGCGCACTCCAACTACACGGAGCTGGCCCTGCGGGAGTTGGGCCATACCGACGTGTTCCCCCACTGTGGCACCCAGACCGAGATTAACCTCAACGGCCGGAGGGTTTACCCTCTCGTGACTGGAACATTCGGCGCGGTCGACTTTCTGCACTCGGTGATTGGGTGCGTATTCTCAACTGTTTATATGCTGTGTACCTGCGTACCTCTTGACTGCATACCCAGACTGACTTGATGTATCCAGGGAGGCAACCGACCACTTCACCCAGTCCGAAGTCGACGAGATGAACACGGCTCTGCAAAATGCGCAACAGCTAACCAAGTCGGGTGGCGGTGGCCCAGGCGGGTCCACTGACCGCGGCCTCTTTGGCCCGTCGGGTGGCGGCGGCGGAGGCGGTTTTGTCTCGCTTATCTCCCAGCTCCCTGGGGTTGGCGACGGGTTCGCCGCCGAGGCCCGAAACCTGCAGGCCGCCTCGGCGGCCCAGGAGAAGGAGAACCTCAGCCGGGATTCTAATAACCCTAACCATGTGCCCGGCATGAGTGAGAACTTCGATCCCGTCAAGACGGCAGGCAGGATATACCCCATCCTTCTGTTCCGTGACAAGATTGTGCGGGCTATCAGCAACACCATCTCCAAGATCCCAGGACTGGAGAAGCTGCTGGAGCACATTGGCGAAACCTTGACGGCCTACATCATGGGATTGCTGGCGCCCTTCGTTCAGCCCATCATCAAACAGGTGTCCAAAACGCTCAAGGATGGCTCCTCTGGCGTCATCACCGCTAGTGCAAACTCGCAGCTTGAGCCTTGGAAGGACCCCACGTGCTCGAACCCTACGCATTCCATGCTGGTAAGTGACCCATGTTCCATGCTATATAACCCCGAGACTTGTTAGGGCCAGGCTCTTACTCCGTGTTTAACTATAGAGCAAGGATCATTTCACAAACGTCCTTAATTCCTGCGCTGGCCGTGTTGCGTCGACGATCGTGCAATACGTAGTGCCGTAAGTTCCCCTTGGGTGTGACGTGATATAACAAGCGCAATAACCACTGACATCACCATTCGCATACAAGGCGTGTTGTCTTTGCCTGGGAGAACCCTAATGTGCCGGTAGACGAGATTTGCAATGATGTCCTCCGCGCTTTTCACCATCCTGCCGCGCGAAACGAGCAGATCGAAATTCAGAAGCAGATGTTCGAGACTGTCCGAATTTGGCTCAACGAGTGGTCTCACAAGCATGAGGTCAGCCGCCTCCTCTCGTCTGAGGCCGTCAAGGCAGGCCGCAACCACCTCCTTGTCAATGGCCAACAGGCCAAATCCGTCGACCGTGCTCATGACCATGGCGGTGGCGGCTTCCCCACCGCTGCTCTCGCCGAGATGGGCGGTCACGGCAGGGTGTCGGGCTCGCTGTGGGCGCAAGTCAAAACACGCGACATGAATGCCATGGGAGCGGGTCCTCAAACTCAAGGGACGCCCCAGCCTCAGCAACAGCCCCCGCCACATGCTCCTTATGGCCAAGGTCCCCCGTCCGGATACGCCTATAGCCAGGGCGGCCAGCCGCCTGCTCCGTCGCCTAGCTACGGCGCCTATGGGCAGCAGCCCCCACCGCCACAACAGCCGCCTCCGCACCAAGGAGGTTACGCTCCGCAGGCGTACGGCCAGCATCCGCCTCAACACATGCAGCAGCACCATCACCAGCCGCCGCCGCACCAGGCGTACCCGCCGGTTCAGCACCACCAGCCGCCTCAGCAACCCGTGTACTACCAGCAGCCGCCACCCCCGCAGCCTTATGGCCAGCCAATGTACGGAGGCCAGCCCCCGTACCAGCAACAACAGCCGCCTTACCAGCAACAACCCCCTCCTGGACAACCGGGCGGATGGTCGGGATACCCTGGCCAGTATCGCTAGGTGCAAGATGGAGGCAAAGCCAATCCTAGCCAAGGCCATGGTCCAGTTTATCATGATTACCGCACAAGTGTGTTGCCCACAGACCCTCGTGCTACAAGTTTTCGCAGCCATAGGCATGCCGCTTATCGGCGTGGGATTCGGTCAGACGGACGAAATGATCAGAATGCATTTGCGCATCAATCCGTATATGGTCATAATATTGCACTCGCTCATCAAACCGCACGCATTCATCAGAGTGCATTCGCGCATCGGAACACATTCGCGCATCAGCACGCATATAGGGGTCTGTTGACAGCCACGACAGCGTATTCCTCAACTTACCGGGACGCCGTCGCGCGAGACATAAAGTCAGAGCCTCCCTAATAAGCTCGGGTAATGCTAGAGAAGGGACTGCTGCGTCCCGTGCCCGAGGATCATTCCTAGATCAAATAATAGACGTGGCCTAGAGATTCAGAACGAGAGTGAGCTTATGATTAAGGCTAGATAATGGCAAAACCATAGTTTTGAGGAGACAGCACCTATGATTTGTAGCGAGATAGTGTGTAGGCACAATGGGCTTTTTATCTGCGAATTTGCTGCGATTTTGGTCCGGAGGACAGGCACAAGCTTTATTGTTTGGAATTGACCATGGTAGCCGGCTCTTGCGAGTTCTTTGGGCACTTGGCGGACAAATCATGAATTAATTGGCGATTGCCTGCGACGGATAAGGCGGACATAACTCACCTCTGCGGCCCAGCCTAGACTATTATGCCGAGTTCATCATCTCCCGCTGCTCTCCCGCGATCTTGGAAAACTCCGCGCCGATAGCGTGCTCCAATAAGATGCATTTATCGGGGATTACTTTGGCGCGGCAAATGGGGCATACAAGGTTTCTCTGTTCCTTGCTGGCGATTCTTTCCATTTCGCGGAAGCATTCGGTTCCCAGGATGTGTTTGCATCCATTCATGAGAATGCCCACTTCGCCGCCGGTATTCGGTATAGCGGGATATCCTATCGGGAAGAGGCTACCCAGACATGCGGTGAACTCGACCTCTTGACAGATGGGACACTCGACCCGTGGCGGGCGGGCGGCCCGGCTCGACCGTATCCACCGCGTTACCGCATGGTAATTGCAAGTCCCGTCGGGCTCGTCAGCGTCGGCGGCCGCGAGGCCGGGCTCCGACGGGAAGGCCAAGGCCAGCAGCTCCCGATGGACGGTGGACGCCGCCTCCCGGATGGCCATGGCTTTCGGCCCGTTTTCGGCATTCATCTGCAGGTTTTTGGCCTTGCACAGCTGCCGCTGGGCCATTACGATGTTCTCCTGCCAGATAATGATCATCCCTTGGTTGGGCATGGGCTGCCGCTGGGATTCGGTGTTTAGTTTATCTTTCGACTTCTCCAGCCACTCCTGGGCATCGCGCACCCGCCGCTCGGCCGAGACCAGCTCCCGCTGCAGCACGGCCCACTCCTGCATCACGACCGACGGCCGCTCGAGCTGCTGCCTCGTGCCGGCGGGGAAGTTTTGCACCTGCGCCTGCGCGAGCCCAATGAATTGCTCCGCCCTCGCGGCGGACTTTCTCGCCGTGGCCTCGACACAGGCGTGCAGGTCCAGCCATGTGCGCTCGGAAAACCCCTGGATGGCCGTTTCGGCGGCCAGGAATTTCGGGGCCAAGGTGCCGACGTCGCGTCCGTGGATCACGACCTGCTTCGCCGCGGGCGTGTCCCCGATGGCCTTCAGGATCAGCCTGGTGGCGGCGCCCCAGGACGAGTCGAAGTCCCCGGTTCCGTACATGAGTTCGCCGGGGCGTCTGTCGACCCGGGGCACGCCCTTGCCGTCGTCGACGGAAGCCCGCACGAGCAATTGTAGCGGGTCGGCTCTGTACGCTAGCTGGTAGTCTCTTGCTTCCTCCATCCTTGCTTGGAGTTTGGCCCAGTCAAGAAGCCGGACAAGCGCCCACGACTGAGGGCTATCGACTTGTTGGTCCGCCAAAATCTTGCTTAGTACCTCCCAGAATGTTAAGTGTTGGCTTATTGGCCGACATGTGGCCATTCTGAGGATTTGTTCTTCAAAATCAATCATTGCCGCGTCCACCTCCCCCCTAAGGATGGGCTGCGGAGCAGCCATGTTTTTTTGAGGGTGGCAGATCAGGTGGGTTAAAGCACTTGGATGAAGTACTTGGGCGACGCGAGCAAGTCCTGGTATCTGACCAGACCACAAGGAGATTCTGAGGAGTGGATGGTAGGTAGAGATGACGACGGGGAACGAGACAAGAAAGCCGCATGTAAATTTATATCTAACGGATGTCACCGCAGCCCAAGTTCATCCTCGAGACAATAGGCCTTGCCTTACTGTCAAGTCACACAAAGATTGCTTCCCTATCCCCTTTGTTCCATGCTCGTAGCGTTATGTGAATAAAAAGCCTTGGCCCACGAGAAAGGACATTAGAAATGAACAAAGACAAGACAATTACACCCAGATCTAGACACGCTCTACCTCTGGACAATGAGTGTCCCGGGGAGAGCCCTGAGCCATTGACTTCGGCACTGCTCGCGGCTCCAGTGTTTACAAGCAGCCAAACGAGGACCTGATTTCCGCCTTTAGATGAGTGACATGCAGGAATGGTCGGACTTCCTCTCCACATAGGCAGATAGGTTGAGGGAATAAATCTCAGATTAGAGCACCGGGGTTTGACCGTACAGCGAGTGAGAGAGATGCCGAGACAGAAACAGAGCTTTTGCTAAATCTACCGTTTCTATCTTTTGCTTGTTCGTGGCAGAGAAAAGGATACAAGGCGAAAGATTCCCCATACCGCCGGGCCGTTTATTTGCAGTCAAATGTGGAGGTATGCATCAGTGGACAAAAAGCTACGACAAGAAAAGAAAAAAGAGGGGAATTTAAACGGAAAAGATCAGCGGATATGAGAATCAGGAGAGAAAGCCTGGAAAAGTGCAAGATGAGGGAAAGACGTAAAGTCTAACCCAGGTTTCCTTTACGCCCCCATCACCTCCTGCCCCGCCTGGGATCCTGGGCCTCGGCCCTGCGCACGTCGCGAATCTCCTTTGTGCCGAGGCTGCCGACGCCGCCCTCGCTGCGGCGCTCCCAGCCGCCGAGGCGGACGACGAGGCAGGTGGCGTTGTCGCCGTCGGCCGAGACCTCGGTGGCGTACTCGACGACGTCGCGGGCGCCCTGCTCCGGGGTGCGGGCCTCCTTGACGACGTCGACGATCTCCTGGTCCGACAGGGTGCCCGAGACGCCGTCGCTGGCCAGGACCAGGAAGCTGTACTCGGCCGGGCCTAGGTCTGTGCGGCATATCTCGGGCTCGGCCGAGACGCCGAGGCGTTTGGAGGTCAGGTCGCCAAAGGCGCGCGAGTTGGCCAGGCCGGCCAGGCGCTCCTCGCCGAACGAGTCGGTGGCGAGCGAGCCGCCGGCGGCGAAGAAGCGGCGCAGGCGGCGGGCCTCGAGCGGGCTGGACGGGTGGTGGTCGTTGCTGAGCGGGCGCGCGAGGCCCGTGGCCGTCTCGCAGAGGAGGGCGCGCGAGTCGCCCACGTGCGCGACGAGCAGGGTGCTGTGGGCCGACGGGTGCCAGAAGGGCTGGGGCGTCGGGGTCGACACGAGCGCGACGGTGGCGGTGGAGCCGCCCTTGAAGCGCGAGGGCCCGCCGATGGTGTCGCCGCCGCCGGCGAGGTGGTGGTGGTGCCGCGCGTGCGGCGCCCCCAGCACCTCGTCGCGGTTGACGGGGAAGTCGGCCACGTGCGCGTCGTCCCGGTCCGGCTTGCGCGCCTGCGCCGTCACGAAGTCGAGGTCGGCGCGCAGGAAGGCGTACGTCAGCACAGACTCGATGGTTACGGGCGGCGCGCCCGACATCGCCGCCTCGGGGGACGACGGGTGCGTGGTGGACTCGACCGACGTCGTCCGGGTAAGGCTGAAGTGGGGTGGTTTAAAGCGGCGGAAGTAGCCGCCGACTGTGTCCTTGTACTCGGCCAGCAGCTCGCGCTCGAGGCGCAGCGCGGCGGGGACATCGGCCGGCACGGGCTCAGGGTCGTCGCTGCTGATCTTCTTGCCTTCGGCCAGGTCGTTTTTGACCATGGCCTGTACCTCCTCAGCGCTCTTCATCTCGGGTTGCTGCGGCGGCGGGGATGATCCGCCGACGCTGTGGCTGCCGAACTTGTGATGGCCGCGGCGCAAGCTGCTCCCGAGCCCGAACTGCACCGCCGTCTCCTCGATGTAGCCGTGCAACTCATCGCGCAGGAAGGCGGAGCACTCGTTGCCGCCGTGGCCGTCGAACACGCCAAAGTAGAATATCTGCGGGTCGCCGCTGGCGCTGTCGGCCACGCTCCCCTCGCCCGAGCCGGAGCTGTCACCGCTGGAGGCCGAGGAGGAAGGTCTCCGCGAGCGCGACAAGCTGACCGGGGCGCGGCGCGCAAAGGCGGGCAGGTCTATGGTGCCGGCCTGGTTCTCGTCCTCGTTGTAGGCACGGGTGCCGCGCGAGTTGTGGGCGCCAAAGTGGTGCTTGGCGCTGCGCAGCGGGATGCGGACGACGGTCAGGTCCCGCGACGGGAGGTTCCGGGGCACGGGCGGACTCGCCGCGGGGAGGCTCCGGGAGCCTGGGTCCGGGGTGTGGGGTATGGAGGCGCTCCGGGGGAGTTTATGGTGCGGGCCCGAGCCGAGGCGCGGGTCCGGGTGCAGCGACGACGAAGGCAGGTGCGTGACGAAATAGTTATGGAAGCAGCGCCGCTGGGAGAACGGGCCGCTCTCGGTAGCGGCGAGGGGGTGGGGATGGTCGTGACGACATAGCCCGTGGCCGCTGGGGTCGGTAGGAGGGCGTCGGGGTACTCTATAGCTCCTGCAGTGGCGCCCCGCCAGACGAGAGTGCGAGGTCGAGTGAACAAGAGTCGCAATGAAGCCCATGAAGGCACTGAGGGTGTCGGGACTGGCCGAGCGGACGTGTATCGGTCGCGGTCGGGTCCTTGGGGCCCAGCGAGGCATTCTAGCTAGCGCACGCAGCGCCATCCTGACGGCTCAACGTTGTTCAGCGCTAGCGAGGGAGCGTTGGGATTGCAACGGCGGAGGCTCCCCTGGACTGGGCGTTTGCTATGGGCGGGCAGGTAGGTTGTCTGGTAGGAGCGTGGATGGAATCGACGCAATGCGAGGAGAGGAAGCAAAAGTCGGCGTTGACTTGGCGCTCTTGGGCAGCACTCGCTCTCCATCGCTTCGCAGCGGGAGTTGTGAAACTGCCAGCTCGGAAAAGCCAATTGATTGACGCTGGCGGACCCGGGATATTCCTTGCTGCACACTGACGTAGCGCCGGGGTGGCGCTCGGGGCTTTCCGAACCCGCCCCAGCTTCAATCCGTTCTGTTGGGCTCGCCTGTCCAGTGCTGTCACCACACCAATCTCTGGGTCGGGTTGGCGTTGATCTTGGAGATTGCTGTCCTTGATGCCAAACATAGAACATCCACAACAAAGAGCGCACAGCAACTGGGAAGCTTACCGACAGTCTGGGAATGGGCAGCGAACAAATCCTACGCCCAGAATTCGGCGAAAATACGTACATCTTACGTAACACAACGCTCTTCTCTCCCCATTTCCTCTTCCTGTTACTTGAAAGATGTGTTGGTGTGCTGCTTATTGGCCTCCATTGGAACCCCATCTCATCACAGAAAAGTCAATTGTTAAAGAACATTCCTCGGAAATCCACCATCCCATACCCAGCCGATACAAATCACCCGGACCTTCGTGTCCAAATACATAAATATCGTACAAGTCCAAATAACACCCCATGCCCGAACAGAATGCCTAGACCAACTTAAGGCTAATAAACAACCTTAAAAGCTCTGCGTCCACCACGGCCAGCTGCTCCCCTTCTTTGTTCAGGTGCGGCTTGTAAAAGTCGCAGGTGCCCTGGCTGCACACGTAATGGATGCCCCCGGGAACCTTGGTGTCCCTCCCGGCGACCTGGCGCTTGCTGGGGTACCCGCACCCGTCGCAGGGGGGGGTTTCGGTCGTCATTGCCACGCTCGTCGTCGAAGCGCGCAAACTTGCGGCATGGCACGCACTTGTAGTAGGGCCTGCCGGCGTTGCCGTTGCGGTTCGAGGCCCGCGTGATGAAGCGCTTCGTCATCTGGCGGCAGTTGACGCACGCGGGCGCCGATAGCGCCACCACCGTCGGCCGCGAGATGGTTAGGGCGGTGGACATGGCTTTGACCTTGCGGGCGACGAGCTGCAGCTCTGTCTTTGCGGCTGGGATTTTGGTTTCGTCCGGAGTGGGACTCAGTGGGGAGGATATGGCTGGGGAAGTCGGCCGTGTGGGATTTCCGTGTGGAAGAGAGAGGGGTTGTAAATGGATGGGATGCAGGGCAGGAACGGCTCAAGTTGGTTGTGCTGCTTGTATTGCTCCGGGGAACATGAAGGAACCACAAGGGAAGTCGGTTACATTTATCAATCTGCTGGATAGAATCCTCGACAAGACCTCAGCCGTTTGCTCCTCTGTCTAAATGCCCACCAGAAAGCCTTGCATCGGTTGCCTCAAACCATGGCCTTGTTTGGGTGCAAGGCGGCCGGCCTCCCGCATATCACGAAAACACCCGATTGGAGCTCGGCGGTTGGCTGAATAAACCTGCAGAACATCAAGAACTCAGCCACCCGAAAGTGCCTGCTTCAACTGAACAGGCGCCTGCACCGCCCAGTACAGGTCGCCAAGCAGGCCGTGGCGTCTTGCCTTCATGCGAGGCCACAGTTAAGGATAAAAAAAATGCACACAATGATCCGATTTATACAGGGGGGGGGGAAATCAATTCAACAGGCGGACGCCTGGAATGGTGCGGGCGTCTGGGTGCCCGCATGTTTGCTTAGCCGCCTTGGTAGCAACATGCAAGTGTCAAACATTTACCCAGGGTGCCAGGAAGCCAGGCAATGGTGGACCCCAATTCCCTGGCGGTTAATATACTCCCTCACTCGTCCATCCATCCAGCCTTCTCCAGTCGGTCGCAACCATTCTTAGAAAACTGTTCATAGCATGTCGACTGGTATAGACTTGTCTCATTGAGAGAGCCCCTCATGTGGCGAAGACCTTCAAGGCAATAGCCATAAATAAATCCCACAGCGCATATCAAAACTTCATTCACGCCTACCACCCATGCATTGCTCGTGCGTCCAAAGTAGAGGTGATAGCGCGCATCAACAAGCCGACCTGTTGCCTGGACGTCAGGGAAGCAGGTCATATGCAGGCGAAGCAGCCAAAGGCAGGTTGTTTAGGGAGACCTTGGCACTGCATAACTCGGGCGGCTCCCAAGTCTTCATGAAGAATCCGTGGTTCTTCCCGACCTCGAACACTGCGTACGTGGTCTAGGACCGCTACATTGGTAACAACGACCGTGGTTCGATATCGACCCTTTGCCCTTACAAGCTGCCTCCCTTATTCGACGTTGGCTCCTGCGGGAGGCCTTTCAACCTCACTAGTTGAGACCAATGACAGCTGAGCAAACCGCTGCGTCCCCCGCCCCGTTCGATCTCAGTCTATTTTGTCACGTGTAGAGGCAACCTACCTACATCACCTCGTGCTCACCCGCAGCCAACCTGCTCGGCAAAGCTACTCAACCTCGGAGCCCAAACTGCAGTTCTTCTCGCTCTTTGTGGTCTAGAAAACAGTCAATACCTCCTACGATCGGCAGCAAACATCCATCTGAAAGAAATCCGAGATCAACCCCGAGCTACTGCAACAGCCTCGCCTGCTACTCATGGAGCGATCCATGTCCATCCGGTCGGTCCCCGCGCCGTGCCATTTCTTTGCGAGCGGACGTTGTATGAAAGGGACGGCATGTCCATTCTCGCATGCGATCGACCAAGAGAGCCCTTCGGCGCGGCCGTCACGCAAAACCACCGCCGCACCGCCTGCCAACTTGAAGAACCCTGCCACTATATGCCGCTTCTTCCAAGCCGGAAAGTGCCACAAGGGCGCCGGGTGTGCCTTTTTGCACGAGGAAACGGCCAAGCCTGTCCTGCCAGCCGAGGCGACTCCCACCGAGACCGAGAAACCAGCACCGGAAACTCTGCCCGCCACCGTCGACTCTCGTAGCCTTGTTCCTTGTCGCTTCTTCGCCGCCGGGAGTTGCAAGAATGGCAGCAGCTGTCCATTCATGCATGCCCCTGCTACTAAGGATAACCTACCCGAGGAGCCGACACCCGATGAAACCCCACTGGATGTGAAAGATGGCTTGGTTAGTGATCACTTTAACGAGAATTATGAGCCTCAACTTTACTAACGCAGGTTGAATTCCATCTCAAGCTTGACGATCCACACGACGACTGGACGCGAGCGTTCTCTGGAGCCGTCGTCAAGTTCGCGGAAGGCGCCTCCGTCAGCGACCTTTCTCTAGCTTCCGACTTCTCCGCTATTCGTCTTGACAACCTCCCTTCAGAAAGCACGCCAGCATCTGTCATCCAGCTGCTGGGTGATCTGGGCTTGACAGCGCCGGACGACTGTGTGAGGGTTCGGCAGGCCTCCAATGGCGGGGCGGCAAGCGCCGACGTCAAGGTCAGGGACCCGTCCTTCGCCGCCGCGGTTCGCGACAGGCTTTCCGAACGCATCTCGAATATCAGTGCCACCCGGATCGACGTCCCCATGGCGGCCGGCTCGGGCCTCCACCGTATCGACTGCTGCAAGGTTCTTTGCTCCTGGCATCGTCCTACGCGCACCGCGTGGCTCAATTTCCGGACCCCAGGCGTGGCACAGAAGGTTTGCGACCATTTCAGATCCGAGGTCTTCAAGGTCAAGAACCAGGACGTTGGTGCTAGTCTCCTCGCTAGCAATAAGGGCAATTCCTCTTTCATCGGCCATGGTCGGACTTGGACTGTACGGCTGTCCGACCTAAACCCGACCGTCACCAAGGCGAACATCCTGGCACAGATACCCGATCACTGGATGCCGACCCATGTCGAGCTGGGCCAGCCGACATACACCGAGAACGCCGACGAGGTTACATCTACGGTCAGGTTAAGGCTGCTCCAGTTCGGACCGCTTGATATGTGGAGCGTGGCAGAGACTGGGGGTGGGAAAAGGGTCAAGGCCCAGGCTCGGTTCGGGAATGAGAAAGACGCCAGAACCGCGGAATCTGCGCTAAACGGCAAGTCAATAGCATGGCTAAGATGCGATGCTAGGGCAATGCGTACGTCGTCAGGGTCTGCCGCCAAGCTCACAGTCCAGCACGTTACCACGGTCAAGGTCAAAATCCCGGCCCGCATCTATAGCACCCTGCGAGAGCCGCTCCAGGAAAAGAAGAAGCTCTGGTCCGAGAAGAAGGTCTACTTCGTGGCCTACCCGCCCAGCAACGGACACGTCACCCTCAAGCTCGAGGGCGCCGTATCCGAGAATGTGGCTGAGGCCTACCGAGGCCTTTCCGAGACGGTGGCAGGAACCCTACTGGACGTGGGTAAGGATGCGTGGTGCACCGTCATCCAGAACCAGGCGTCTTGGCGCGACATCCTCGATCGCATCAACAAAAGCCATAGTGTCACCGCTATCAGGGACAGGCGTCGGCGCCAGATCCGACTCTTTGGCAGGACCGAGGGCTGCCAGCTTGCCAAGGAGCTGATCACAGCGCAGCTCGAAAAGCTGGCCTCCGAGGCTGTTGTCATCGAGCTGGCGCCCGACGAGTTCCAGTGGGCCTGCCGCGGAGGGTTTAAGAAGCTCGTGGCGGAGCTCGGCGCCGACAAGGTCACTCTGGACATCGTCTCCAACCCGAGACGCATCCTCTATTCCGGCGGCTCGGGGGGCGACCGCGCCAAGATACACGCCATGCTAGCGAACAAGAACGGACCGGCCCTGACTGCCGATCCGCCGTCCGAGGACCACCCCGCCGGCGGCAGGGACTGCTCCGTCTGCTGGACCGAGGCCGAGGAGCCCGTCGTGGTGACGTCCTGCGGGCACGCCTACTGCGCCGGCTGCTTCGCGGACCTCTGCGGCGCGGAGCCGGCCGCGGGCGCGCGGCACCTTGTCGCCTGCGTCGGGGATGCGGCCGCGTGCGGGAAGCCGTTGCCCTTGGCGGAGCTCAAAGAGCACCTGCCGTCGGCCGAGTTCGAGGACGTGCTCAAGGCGGCCTTCACGTCACACGTGCGGCGTCGCCCCGCCGACTTTGGCTACTGCCCCACGCCCGACTGCGGGCACATCTACCGCGTCTTCGCCGACGCCGCCGGGGAGGATGGCAGCGACGCCGCCGTCGTCTTCACCTGCCCGGAGTGCCTCGGGGCCACCTGCACGCGCTGCCAGGCGACCGCGCACCCGGGCATCACGTGCGCCGATCGCAAGGAGGAGGCCTCGGGCGGCTACGAGGCGCTGGCGCGGGCCAAGGCGGAGCTGGGCGTCAAGGACTGCCCCGAGTGCAAGACGGCCATGGAGAAGACGGAGGGGTGCAACCACATGATGTGCGGCGGGTGCCGCACGCACATCTGTTGGGTCTGCATGGCCACTTTCGATTCGGATGGCGAGTGCTACGACCACCTTAGCGCGAAGCACGGCGGGGCCTTTGATGTCCCGGCAGAGGCCGCGTGGTGAAGACGGAGAAGGAGATGGCCAGCGTCACCGGGTGTTTGCTGGTTCCGTACAAAAGTTGGCTCGATTCCCGGACGTCGATTGCTTCTATCTTCGCGCCTGTTTCGTGGTGATGACCCATTGGGACCCCTTGCGCGCTACGCCCAGAGACATGGGAAGGGTGGTTCCGAACGCATAAATGATGGCTTTATTTTTGGGAGGAAGCTGGAGGCATTAGCTAGAATCGGGATCAGCATATGGTTCACGGGAACTATGGAGATCGCGGCAATACTCGACCCTAATGAGGGTGGGGAGAATGGCGATCATGCCGGAGAGAATACCAGGAGTCGTCCTAGGATATAGACATCTCAAAGTTTCAGGGCTCCCAGCAACGAGACTTCGTCCTCCTAACCACCTAGTCGCGTCCGGTGACATACTATCGAAGGGAAATCTACTATGCAACGCATAGCAGAAATAAGTATCTGGATAACCGCAAGACAAACACTGAGTTGACCCAAAATCTTTTGCCGTACTACCGGAAATCACGCTTCCTTGAAAGGTGTACTGCCGTGGTAGACACATCCAGGGCTTCGGATAGAGGGACTAACAGCGCCGGCGCCGGCAAGCTGCCAAACCTTAGTTCCTCAAGCCCAGGTCCACGGAGGCCATCGCTTTCGGCATGGCGGGTGTCATCCGAATAGAGTGACGCTAGAGAAACCGTGTGTGAGGTGGGTCCCAGGCACGTGAGTGCACGGCCCACCCCGATGGATAGATCTGGACCGGTATCGCCAAGCGTAGTACCTCACACAAACCGTTTGGTGCGGGACACGAATTGCGGGGTATGGGACATGCAGGCTGAGGCTGATTCGTCCATGACAATGAATCCTGCGATGGATGTGCTCCCCGTGCGCACCGGCTCCTGTCGTTCCCGATGTCCGCCAACATCCTCGAGTGGTGCAAATGCACAGGTTGTCAAACAAAAGACATATGCATCAATATCTGTTGGTGCGGGGCACGGCAGAGTATTGGAGGCGCTTTGTGATGTTTGCGGGTGAAGCCCGAGCGTGCATGAACGCACAGCGCACATGGACGGTTGTCCTGGCATCATGGCGGCTGGCATTGTGCATGACGCTTAGTCGGATAGACGAGCTTTGGTCGCGTGTTGATTGACTCTCTGTATAGAGAACTCTCGACTTGCTCATGGGTTTCGTGACATGGAGAGATGCGAGTGAGGCGCAACGGGCAAAAAAACAGCCGAGACCACGGATGCGACACCACGCCGCACCATTTATTGGGTACATAGGTGGGAGGCGCCACCCAGGGTTGGGAATTTAGTCTTAGTTACTGGCTTGACTAACTAATGACCAACTTTGTTCTTTTTTAACTAACTAAAGTAACTAATTTAGTTATTGTTAGTTGTTTTTTTTACATAAAATTTCCATATATTTATACAAATTTTAAAAGATTTTTAACTGTTTAATATTTAGTAATATTAAAATAGTAGTGGGAATAGTAATAAAAATAATAATAAAAATAGTAATAAAAATGGAGCGGGGGTTCAATGGACCCCAAGACTTTCACCCTGGATTTGCGATCCGCGAGACTCTTCTCTTGTGCTTTGTGCCGTTTTCAGAACGCGGATGAGGTCCTTCTGGCATACGATAGATGGCCTAGACGGGGAATTGATGGGCTAGGGAAGGGGTTTGCGTCCAACCGAAATCACGCCGTTGCACTGTGGGGGAATTTAGCCGAATATGCCCGTCATAACGGGCACCTAACCACTAGCCCCAAGCCACCCATCTCTTGCAAGGACCGTCCTGTGATCCCTGGAAAACACTCGACAGCGACATAGGAGGCTGTAGACGACATGGATCTGACTCGGTGCGCCGCATACCTTGGCACATGCCGGTTGCTGTCCCGGCACCGCAACATGCAAATCTCCATGTGGCACTTGTGAATGCAGATCGCACGCGGCAATACTGAGCAGTCACCAGAAACAACCGCGACTCCCGTGGTCTCGGAACAAAAACGGAGATGTTGGGACAGACACGGAGGCGTTTTGCGACGGGGTGACTACCACCAAGACCCAAAAGATGACACGGGAGAGAAGAGGGGCTGGTTATGGAAAACAAGGGTCAGGGTCACATCGGATTTCGACGAGACAGCGAAGTGTTCGGCAGTTCTGGACCTCAATGGCATGCGTGTGCGCCAAGCCCAAATCGTCCACGATGATACGACGGCACGAAGCGACAGCCTAGCTGCCCGACAGTTGGGCTAAACTGGCACCAAACCTCAAGCAGATGAGCATGACGGCTTTGCATGGGTGAGCAACCCCGAACCGTGAACTCCGCAGATGGGAGGCCCAAGCGTCAAGGCAAGACAAGCCAGAGCTGGGTCCAGCTCCTCTCCTCACCCCTGTCGACGCACGCTAGCCGGAGCCGAGCACACAACCGTGGGGCGGCCCAAACACAACCGCGACGGGGATAGGATGCTGTAGCCCTGATCACAGCAGCTGCAGTTTGAGCACACAATATTGCTTTCTGGTGGTGGCTGTCCAAGCTGTTTCCCTTTGCCTATGAGGGAGGGGAACGAGATGTCTTCTCCCGAAACCCTCCATGTAGGGTGGCACAACAGTGCCTGCACGCGTCTTGATCCGTTCAAACACACTCTACCAAAGGAACAAAAAAGGATGACTTGATGAGATGTGAACACTGGAGTGCAGAGGGGTGACCCTCTGTGGAGCAAGCCGTAGCTCTGGGGAGCTCCGCCGCCCAGATCAAGCCAGGCTGATGTTTACACAAGTTCGTGAGCAGTTTGCGTTCCTCGTCTATATCCGCTCCAACCCCACCGGGAGCTGTTCCGCTTCGGTGAGATCACGAGGCGCAAAAGATGGCACACCCTCCCGGGATTCTTCACCCAGCGCCTCGATGCAGTTCTCGAGACCACCTCAACCCAACACGGACCACCCGGTACATAAACGGGAGGCCCGCCCAGCGTTACAGGGCTTGACTCGGCCCCCCGCTGGGAACGTGGCAGGGGAAGCTTTTGTCAAGCTGCTGATATCTCCGAACGGCATTTTTGCTTCTTAATCTATCAATTCCTTGGATCGTTTGTTTCCTCGCCCATCCCCTGCCCGAGGACCAGGTGCACTTTGTTCTGGCAACAATACGAGAAAGAGCCAGTAGCCGAGCTTACACTACCACCGAGGCCACAGCATCCGAGACTAGTACCGCCGCCAGAAATACCGCCATGTCATCAGGCCAGCCTGGACCCGGAGGCTTCGTGACGCCGCCCACCACTGGACCCGGAGGCTTCGTCGCGCCGCCCACCGCCGGCGGCAACACGACCTGGCCCGGTTTCCCGCCGGGCTTCGATCCCGCGCTGCTCCCGCACGACGACAAGGGCGCCGAGCTCAAGGCCACGGTCTGGGTCCTGTTCGCCCTGGCCACCATCTTCTTCGCCCTGCGCATCTACTGCCGCATCCTCAAGAACAGGTGGCTGCTTTACGAGGACTGGGTTCTCCTCCTCTCCTACATCTGCCTGTTCTTCAACGCCATCATGGTCCAGGTCCAGACGGGCCTGGGCTACGGGAAGCACTTCTACGACATTCCGATCGAGAACTCCAACACGATGGCGCTCTACGGCCTCATCACCATCACCGTCGCCGTCATGGGCCAGGTGTGGAGCAAAACGAGCTTCGCCATGACCCTCTTGCACATCACCGGCCCAAAAGCCAAAGTGTTTGTCTGGTTCCTTATTATCACGATCAACGTGTTTATGACATTGGGTAAGTCCCGGGGTATATCGAAAGTCGCCATACTAGATCTGTACCATGGGTTTCTTATTCCCCTCGTCTCGTGGCTAACTCGGATTTCTTTCATTTTTTCTTCAACAGGCGCCATCTTCTTTTGGGTCCAGTGCACCCCCTTCTCGAAGGCCTGGACGCCCTTAATGGTCGGCGGCCAATGTTGGGATACGAAAATAAACATCTCATACGGAATTTTTGCCAGCGTATACTCCGGTCTCGCGGATATAGCCCTAGCCCTTGTCCCATGGCAGGTCATCATGGGCCTTAACCTGAAGATGCAGGAGAAGCTGGGTGTTGCGCTGGCCATGAGCATGGGCGGCTTGTGAGTTCCTCCCGACCGCGGCCGCCAATGTCCACAGGCGCGCCATCAAACTCCCCCAAGGCCGAGGCATTTGACTGACTCAACTTGACAGCGCCGGTGCTGCCGCTTTTGTCAAGGCCTCATATCTGCCTACTCTCGCCCCCGTCGATTTCGTGTGTAAGACTGCCTGTCTTTTCCCATCTCGCTTAGCACCAGGCCGCGTGTCCCCACGCGACTCCCTGGCCGCCCCTCTCAGCACCTAAGCCCGAGGGGGCAATACCCCAACCCAGCTGGAGTCGCTTAGCACTTAGCCCACACCCATCACCCCACCCGGGCTGTAAGCAGCCGAAGACCGAAAAGAAAAAAAAAACACCGCAGTATGCACTGCGGCACCAGCATCGCTGACATAATTGCTTTTTACCTGGACACAGATGAGGGGAAGGGCCTGGTCACCTGGGGAGCGGCGGAGACCGCCGTCACCATCATGGCGGCCTCCATCCCCGTCCTGCGGGTTCTGTTTAGGGACATGGCCTCATCCTGCGGCTACGTCAAGGGCGCAGGGGGCAAGGGCGGCAGCGGCAGCGGCAGCGGCAGCGGCAGCGGCGTCTCCTCGTCGGCGGCCAGCAAGGGCCAGCACGGCGCCCTGGGCAACCACGCCTTCGTCCAGGCCTCGCCCACAACGGGCGCCCACGGCGGCAACAACGACTTTGGGTTCCCCGCCGGCCAGTACCAGCACTACCCGCCGCACGCTGCGGACCCCCGGCGCGGGCGGGACGTGGAGGCCATCGCCGACAGCTACGAGATGATGTGGCAGGACGGCCCCGAGCGCAAGGTTTACGTGCGATAAGTGCCGCATGGGGCGGTAAATTCGGGTATGGTAAATACGAAGGGTAATTCGACAAAAGATGCCGTTTGATACAGCTTGGCGACCTGGAAAACTTTGCGCCTTGGTACGGCCACGATTCTTGTACGATTATTTCTTTACGTTTTCTTTTGAGCGAGACTGGATACGGCTTCTCTTAGGATGGCAATATACTCACGATATTTTCTTGTTCAAGTCCTGAACAGTAGGTAGGCATTCATTCGTACGACGCTGGCAAAGTCTATTCTCGGGCCTCTTGGTTGTTAAATGACAGGCCATTGGACTCCATAGCCCAGCAGCGGTCTCCGTCAGTCTGCTGGTCGTGCCATTACATCGGGGCTGCAAAGGCCACCCGAACGCGGAGGACCCGGACCCGTCTGCCTCCGACACAACGCCTTGTCTAGCCGGGGTATCGTGGGATAGGCCCTAGGCTGGTGGCTAGGTTAGGGAGGTGAGCTTATTAGCAGCAGCGGGGGGCAGATAAAGGTCAATGCTGCATGACGGGATTTTGCGCGCCAGTGGCTTGCGTCAAATCGGAGACTGGATTCCAGGGTGGTTTGTCAGGGATAAGCATGCGTGAGGGGTCAAGTTAGGGGTACACAGGCCACCGCACAATCTGTAGTAGAAACAAATGTATTGTGACTAACCGCTTAATAATCAATATGATCACCGTTGTTGGCTATCACCGCTTTGAGCCTCTTGACCATTGAACGCGCGATGCTCTCAAGCAAATCGACTGGCACCGCATCCCAACCAGCCTAAACCGCTGATCGAAGCTGCCTAGGTGTTAGTTCTTGTATATTATAATGCAAATCCAGCCAATTTTTGATCCAGGCCTATACGTTTTCGATAGGGCTAAGGTCCGGGCTATTGGGAGGCCAGAGAACCACCATTATCTCGAGATCCCGAAGCCAAAACTTGGTCATTTTAGCGGAGTGTGAAGACGCGTTGTCGTGCTGGAAATACGGTGGCCGACAGCCTCGGACTTCCTGGGCCTCGAGCCAGTCAAAAACGATAGGGATTATATGCCTGCAGTACTCGGGGGCGTCAATGCCTGTCTCGTCAGCCCAAAAGTAGGTCGGGCCCTTGACTTTGCCTGCAAACGAGCCCCAAAACATAAAGCCGTGACCTTTTTGCTTGATGCGTGCAAAAGTAGCCGGGTCTTCGCATTGCCTAATTGTTAGATAGCGGTGGCCTTTGAGGGGTTGGTTAAAGCACCAAACCTCGTCAGACCAAAGGATAGGGCCAACCCCGGCCTGCACCCAATGCTCTTCTGTTGGCCAACGTGATAAAGCCCAATTTGCAAGATTGAGCCTCATTTGCCGGATCCTGGGCGTAAGGGGTAGCTTGGTACCTTGAGGCATCCTTTTATACTAAAAGGAGTGCATAAAAGTATGTATTGCATCCCGACCCCAATCTGAAAAGCCAGGGACTAACCAGCGAAGGTCAGCCCAAGGGATTTGGCGGTGACGAGCGTCATCTTCAAGGAAGGCCTCCAATGCATGCACTTGTTCCTCGGTAGCCCGCTTTGGGTGCGGGCCAACCCTGCCGGCTTTTTGGGGCGTGGCAGGGCCTTCGCATGCGAGTTGAACTTGGAACGGGGAATCGAGACACCGGGTCCGCTGGAAACCTGCTTTCGCCGAACGGGCTTGAGCGAGACGGGTGGCTGGCTAGTGGTTTGCGCCACCTCAGGAAATGTGACTGCGATGGAACAGCGGACTGCGGGCGGTGCACACGACGGTAATTACCAGGACGTGCTCATGCGTCGGGACGGAGCGACACGTGAAATCCGGGAGGCTCCCGGGTCTCGACCACATGTGGAACATTGCTTGGCGGGCTGATCAAATTGCCCCCTGTCCTCGCCAAGCCTGGCGTCCAGAGTGCTGGGACGTTTCTCGGTCCCTCAGTTGAGTGAATCGCTTTTGTGTTCGCCCAACGGGTTGCCGTCCATAGCCGAGACTGTGGTGCGCCTTTTGAGGATTCACTTTCGGGTGGAACATCAGGCATCACCGTCGAGTGGTTGGCTGTATGGGAACTGGGGTTTCCGGAGCGGGAATGGTTTGGGTTTGGGGTGAGATTGGGCCAGATGGATCAGCTTTTACCGCCCGCCCTTAACCCTGGAGAGCCAGGTTGGCTGCACGCTCTGCTGCGGAACCATTTCCCCAGGAAATTCCTGCAGGGACGCGCTCAATTCATTCAATCGAAACAACCAGCCAAGATCCCACGTCGGCATACAACATGTTTTTCTTCGGCGGCGGCAAATCTTTTAACCCAGACAAGGACATTCCCGACCTCTCGGGCCGGGTCGTCCTCGTCACGGGCGGCAACATCGGGCTGGGCAAAGAAACGGTCTTGCAGACCTGCAAGCACGGCCCGGCCCGAGTCTTCCTTTGCGCCCGCTCCGAGGCGGCCGCCCACGCCGCCATCGAGGACATCGAGCGCGAGGTGCCCGGCTCCCACAAGCTCATCACATTCGTGCAGCTGGACCTCGCCTCCTTCGCCAGCATAAAGGCCGCCGCCGCCTCGGTGCTGGCGCAGACGGACCGCCTCGACGTGCTGTGCAACAACGCCGGCATCATGGGCACCGCCCCGGCCGTCACCGCCGACGGCTACGAGCTGCAGCTCGGCGTCAACCACGTCGGGCACGCCCTGCTGACCCGCCTGCTGCTGCCGCTGCTTTTACGCACGGCTGGTGCGGGCGGGGTGGGTGGCAATGCCGCCGCCGCCGACGTGCGCGTCGTGAACCTCGCGTCTGAGGGCGAAAAGTTCTGCACGGCCGACCCGTGGACCGCCGACGCGCTGCCGGCGTACAAGACGCCGCAGGCCGACCGCTGGTCCTTGGGGCGCTACGGCGTGTCCAAGCTGGCAAACATCCACCACGCCCGCTGCCTGGCCCGCCGCCACCCATCCATCACCGCCGTGGCGGTCCACCCGGGCGCCATCAACACGGGCCTGACGCGCGGGCCCAAGGAGTCGTACCCCTGGATCGGCCGCCTGATCGAGCTGATCGTGCCCTGGGTCATGCCCGGGCCCAGAAAGGGCGCGCTGAACCAGCTGTGGGCGTGCTGGGGCGAGGGCGTCGTCTCGGGCGAGTACTACACCCCCGTCGCCGTCACGGGCAAAGGGTCGGCGCAGGCGTGCAACGACGACATGGCGGAGCGGCTTTGGGAGTGGACGGAGAAGGAGCTTGATGCTTGTGCCTGGTAGGCTGCTGATGGGTGGGAGGCTTGTGGGGTGAAGGAGAGGGTTATTTTGTGGGAGGAATTATTTAGTCAAAAAAACATGTAGCAGGGCAAGGCAGGTAAGCTTGCAGAGCTTGGTAGGTGTTGTTTTTCTCTTCTTTTTCCGTCACACCCGCTCTACATTGGCTTTGGACACCAGGGCCCATTGGCGAGCAATGAGGCGCTCGTCGCGTTCTTGAGGATCGTGGCCATATCTACCGGTGGGGCATCTACAGCTGAAGGTTGTCGCAGAGGATATTTGACCCGATCGCCAGCCCTCTGGCTGATACGTGAGGCTTCACTTTTGGCCTTTGTGTGGCGCAATGGAGTTGCAACGAAAGGATCGTGGGAATTAAACGGTATGTGCTATAAAGATGTTTCACATGCACGACCCCAATCTTCGGTATCATTGCTGCCGTTCTCTTTGTACTCCCCTTTACAGTATTAATAGCGACATATTAAGTAATTCGGTAGGTACCTATATTGGGCGGTAATCCAGTAGTGCATCCGAGGACCTGATACCTACCTAAGTGGCTAAGTGGCTACCGAGGTGCGTTGCATGTTTACATTCCGAGCTTGTAATCTAGACAGATGTATTGACGCTTAAGCCCCATGGGTGTCTTTAAGTCCCGCCACGTTCCCCCTTTATCATCCCCAGGTCCACAGAAAACGGATAAGGATTAAGGAAGGCATAACGAAAATTGAAGAAATAGAATGACACCAGATAATATGGATTAAGAAAGATAAAGAAGAAAATCAGAACGCGGTGTTATACAAGAAAAATAAGGGAGCAAAGCTAATTAGAATAAAAATGAAAGGCAGTAAAATGAAGGACTCAACGCAAAAGGAATGGTAAAAAAGCAATAAAAAAACACGGGCAAAAACGCGATCTTGGAGAGAATCCACCCCAAGACGGCTCACTTGCTGGTCTCCTCGCTCTCCTCGCTCTCCTCGCTCTCCTTAAGGAGCTTCTGAAACTCCTCCGGACTGATCAGCTGGGCGAGGAGATCCCCATCCCCATTCTTAATCATGTGAATGCGCCGCGCCTTGGCCCTTTTCTGGGCACGCTCCTCCATGGTGTTGGGATTCTCGACGCACTGCATCTTAAGCTGGGCAGCCTCCTTCACGACGCGCATGTTCGAGCACGCGATCTTGGACGTGAGGGCTTGGTGCTGTGCGTCAACTCGTGCCAACACGGCGTTGACATACATCTTGGAGATGCCCGGTGCGGTGCTGAACAGAGATACGCCTTTGTAGTAGTCCTGCTTGTTGCTGCGCAGCCCTTGCAAGGCCTTGGAGCGCCAGCGGCCGGCTTTACCCCACCAAGTCGCACCGGGTCTAGCCGGGTCGTAGAACTTCACCAGGGCCCTGGTTTCAGCCGAATTTGCGTGCAACAGGCTTTCGGCCTTGCTCCCCACATCCGAGACGCATTCATCGAAGCGGTCCAGCAAAGAATCGAAGTTCACGAGCCGCTCCGCCATCAGTTCATCCTAGTCTTCGAAGGCGAAGCAGCGGCCGAGACCGGCAGCCGGGAGGCCATCTAGTTCAAGTGCCAGAATCACGTAATCTCTATCGACCTCAGTGGTGGCCTTGAGTAGGGCCGATTGCGCATTGTTTAGGGCGCGATGGGACCTGCGCACCTTCTCTTGGCAGGCAAGTACCTGCTTGTACTCGGTGTTGCACCGAGCGAGAAAGTAAACGTGGGCGAGCTTGGAAAATAAAACCATGGTGGCGCCGTCGATGAGTGTTGAGATTGAATTTGGTCTCGGTGCGGTTTGTTGGTGGGTGTTACTACTGGCTTTGGTTGAGGTGCGGTTGTTGGTAGGGTTTGGTGTTGTTTTGAGGGAGAAATTGATGGTGATACTAGGCTTCGTGCTGTGTTGAAGAAAATATGGATCGCTTGAGAGAGTCTCTCGTGACTTTCATACACAGTCTTAAAAGATTCACGTTGCTGGAGAGTTGGTAAGGTCGTTTGATAAAAAAAAGGGTCAGTTCTTTGTTTTTCCGCAATTTACAAAAAACCACGAAGGACACAAGCAAGCCCTCATTCGGTAGTTTTTAGCAAAGCGCTTTGTTGCTTCGGAGAGCCCATTCCAGCCACGTCCTTTATGCCAGATATAGCATTAATATATTTTTAATAGGCCATTTGCTTTGTTCTCAGTCGTGCTTCGAATGCTACTGGCATGAGCTCAGCGATCCTGACGGACCCCATACCCCTAACTTCATCCAGCAGCAAAGACCTGATGCCGTGCTTTTTTTGGTCACCGATCAAGTACCGTTCTAACAAAGGTGCCAGAAATAGCTTATACTGCTCCAGACTTGACCGCCACCGCACGCATCTCCTTCAGAATGATGTCGGAAGCCTTCTCCCCAATGACAAAGGCAGTGTTGCACGTGTTCCCGCCGATGTTCTCGGGCGGGATGCTCAGGTCAGCGACCTTCAAGCCCTGGACGCCGTGCACGGAGAGGTCGGGGCCGACAACGCCGCCCTGCTCGAGGGGCGCCATCTTGGCCGTGCCGAGGCTGTGCCACGTCGTCGCGACCTGCTCGCGGATGAACCGCTCGATCGCCAGGTCGTCCTCGGCGTCGTACTCGACGTCGCGCACCTCGGCCGCCACCGGGGCGGCCGCGAGCCCGATGCAGGCCGCCTTGGACCCCGGCGGGAATGGCGGGTGACCGCTCGGGATCTCGCCGCGGAAGCAGGGCATGCGGCGGGCGATTTCGCGCTGCTTCTTGTATGCCCAGATCATCTTCTTGACGTCGATGTCGTGCTCGTCCTTGAAGTAGCCCGTTTCGAAGTCGAGCGGGTCCGCCACGGACGGCCCGCTGATATGGACGAATCCGCGGCTGTATGGGTAGGCGCTGTACGTCCCCAGAGCGAGATACTGGCCCTTGGGAAGCATAGCAGCATGCACATGTCTAGGCAGGTAGGTAGCGTTCATGGTGGGTGATGTCAGCTCGAGCAAGAACGTGAGGGGACCTGTGAGGGAGGAGTGGAGCATATGATCAACTGACCCTGCCAGTGCGACGTAGAGCATATCGGGCCTGTTGGAGTCGTGGCCGAAGTCCCGGTTCCAAGGAGTCTCAAAGTCGGGCCCGAGCGAGGCCACATCCGCCGCTTTCATGCGGATTTTCGAGCACGCGTCGTAGCCGTTCCACCCGAGGCGCCCGCTCTGCACGGCGTCGGCCGCCGCCAGCCTGCCCGACAGGAGCGAGTCGACCGTCTCGCGCTCCTCCAGCGCCGACTCGTACCCGTAGATCATGAGGTGGTGGTCCTGGTAGTCGGCGCCGACGCCGGGCAGCGGGACCTGGAGCGGCACGCCCGCGCGCTCCAGCACCACGGGCGCCCCGATGCCGGAGCGCTCCAAGGTGGCGGGCGTCCCGAGTGCGCCGCACGACACGACCACCTGTCGGCGGGCGCGGACGACGCGGGGCTGCTGCTGCGTGGCCGGGAGGCCGCTGCTTCCGCCGTCGGCGGCGGCCAGAAACTCCGGGGTCGGGGTGAGCTCGACGCCGACGGCCCGCTTCGAGGCGGCTCCGTGGGCGTCGACGCGGTCCTCGAGCAGCACGCGCACGGCGAGGTGCTCCGTCAGGACGTGCAGGCTGGGGTAGTCGTTGGTGGGGAGGCCCGTGTCCATGTCGCGCAGCTTGGGGTGGAGGTAGGTGTGCGCGGCGTCCTGGCGCCGGCCGGTCACCGGCGAGACGGTCCTGAGCCACTTGCCGACCCCGTCGTTGGAGTCGAGGTCCTGGAGGTCGACCATCTGGGGCACGTCGAGGACACTGGCTGCAGTGTCGAGGAACTCGGCCTCGACCCGCTCGGAGCGAAAGGTGCCGCTAGAGATTTGGACGGGGCCCTCGTAGCCGTGCACCGCCGGGGACCCGGGGCCGTGGTAGGTTTCTAGCTTCTTCAAGAACGGAAGCAGCTCGTCTGTGCTCCAGCCGGGAGCTTTCCACGCGTCAAAATCCGACCTTTGGGCTCTAGTATACAACAGGAAGTTGATGGACGAGCCGCCGCCGAGCGTGCCGCCGCTCGCGACGATAGGCTCGCGCCCGCCGAGCTCCTCGGACTTGCGGCCCTTGTAGAAGATCGCCGTCTTCATCTCGGGCAGGAGATTGGCGGGCGCAAACACCGGGTGGATAATGTGGGGGACATCAAAGTTGTCACGGCCTCGCTCGATGACGAGGATGCTCACATCCGGGCCCAGCTCCTCCGCAAGGCGGCCTGCTATGACACATGCTGCCGTCCCACCTGCGCGATCGAGTAAATGTCAGTACAAGGGCGAGCCGAGGAGACCCGGATTGCACTTGCCGCCTGCGATTATCACATCAACCTCCTCTAAATCCTGCGGCAGTCGGTTGGAGATGCCCATGGTTGCGGGCCTGGCCTAGCGACGAGAGATTGTGACTTGGCTGGATGAAGCAAGGAGGCAATCTCCCCGAAACGCAGGGCGATGGAGGGGGTGTTTAGGTCGAGGTTGCAGGTTAGGCTCCAGCGAACCGCGAATCGTTGGCTTCGGCGTCTGTGAGGGGTTCGCCGAATGGCCGAGTGGTGGGTCGCCCGGTGGTGCTCTAGCGCCCGCTTTACGGAGAAGAGCGAAGGAGTCACTACCTTGCCGCGGTGAGGTCCGATGGATGGTGTGGTCCCGAATGGTCCAAGGCTGCGGTCAAGATCGCGGGACACCCACGGCTCGAGACCAGTGGTATTCTGTCCCAGGGAGCTGTGGGATGCATGTCTTATACATCGCACATGGCTTCGGTGGCTGACGCCTCCCAGTAGCGCTAGCAACTCCCGTCCCGGCATCACTGGCTGGCATCAGTTCTGTACTACGAGCGATACGACCATGATTCTGTCATTGGCTAGACGCCCGGTCCGGCCCATTACCTGAGGAGGAGAGCATTATTTTCGTGCGGGGAAACCGTCGGGATTCCGGCGCCATATTGGAGGGCTGACGGTGTGGTGGACCCGATAGGTCCAGGAGGTTGTGATTGGCGTCTGTACCCGGCTGCATTCGGTGCGGACGTGCCCTTGGCAGGTCGTGGACAGTGGCGATGCGCTGCCTTCTGCGCCATCCTGGATCCCATCCAACTCGACCCGTCGACAATACTACTTCCCCTCATTGCTCAGGGCCCTGTATAGTGTAACAAATATGGGTACAGCGCGTTGGGGGTGATTTGACGTGTCGCCAGCCACTCAGCGAACTGCTTGGTAACGATGACCTCCCTTGCGATACTTGGCCAATTACAAGCTAGAAGAGTGAAACTAGAAGAGCCGTGCTTGTTGCATAGTGTCATCCAAGAAAGTAATGATCTCGAGGTTCAGCATCACGTTGACTACGCATACATTTAGTCGTGTATATACATATATTCTGTACCATGCCAAAAGCGAAGGCCCCGCTTAGTGGCTGGTAGCTACCAAGTGGGTCTATATCCTTTTGCGACAGAAGGTCATTCTAACCCATACCCACGTCACCATCCCCTCCTCCGCATCCGCTTTCTGCACAGGCGACGACGCTCACCTCGGGGGCGCCGGGGTCCATCTCGAAGTGAAACCAATCCCAAGTTAGCTCGTCGAGCTGCCTCGCGTAGCACTTATAGCCGAGCTCGGTACACTCGGCCGCCGTCGCGACGCCCTGCGCCATGGCCGCGAAGAGGCGGTGCCAGGGCTGGGGGTCATTCGTGAGGACCGGAATCTTCTCCCGCAGGTAGTACATACAGAGGCGCTGCAACTCGCGCCCCTCGCGGCTGTAGCTCTTGAACCGGGAAGGATCGGCTTCGCAAATTGGGTTGCCATCCACGCCGGGGTCCGTGTCTGGCTTTCCCTCCAGAAACAGAAGGCCGTCGAGGGAAGCGCCGAAGGGGAGGGTCATGACCAGCGGCTTCGTCCAGAGCAGCACGCAGGCGATACCGGGCCAGTCGGGCCGGATCATGATGTTGTACACGTCGAGGCAAGTGTTGTTCAACACCATGGGCCAGTCCTGCCCATCGCTGAGGCAGTTGCCGCCGCCTGCCAGCCGTAGTAGCGGCTCACATACGAAGTCGACAAATTGCTTCAGGATGCCGACGTACTTGTCCTGATTGTCGCGCAGACCGAGCCGAGAGCAGCTGGCCAGGAGTGGGCGCCCAGCGCGAGACACGATTCGCCACACAAACAGCTCTGGGTAATTGGGTGCCAGACCCATGTTGCCAACATAGGTGTACTGCGGGACGAAGTTGCCGTATGCCCCTTTTGCCCTGGCGAGCTGGTCCTCATCCACCGTCTCGTGAGTTATGTAGAATTGAGTCATAAGGGTGGGGCTGGTGACGGCGGTGTCTATGATCTCGACCATGTAGCTGTTAGGGAACTGGCACTCGGAGGGGTACGCGTGCACGTTGAGCGGCCGCTCCCGGGCCTCGTATGGACCGACGCCCTCTAGGTATGCTTTGAGGTAGTACTCCTCGCACTCGGCGCGGTCCAAGTGCTCCCAGTCCTTGAAGAAGTCAAGCATGAGTCCGATTGCCCGTGGGTGGAGCCGCGAGCCATTTGCGGCCGACTCCCAACCCACCGGATCGGGCTTCGACCAGTCCTTGTAAACCCCCTCAGAGTCACCCTCGGAATCGTCCTTGGAATCGGAGATCTTCAGGCCCCGGACAGACGCGATGACGTCTAGCTGCTTGAGCAACTCTTTTCCATCCGCTCGAACGCCTTGTTCGTGCATGGTGGCTATCAAGTCGTCCATCTTCTCCAGGCCCCGGACAGACGCGATGACGTCTAGCTGCTCGAGCAACTCTTTTCTCTCCGCTCGAACGCCTTGTTCGTACATGATTAACTCGTGCTCGGCTTGGTAGTCTAGCCGCTCCTCCTCCTCTTCTCGCTCCACACTCACACTCGTTTCCACACAATCATCGGGGTGAATATACTCCCTGTCGAAAGGAAATATCCACATTGTCCCTTCTGCAGTGGCCAGCTTCAGGCTTCCAGCTTCGTCCAGCCCCGGGCTTCCAGCTTCGTCCGTCGAGTCCGAACTGAAGCTCATTTCCGAATCCGAGTCCGACTCGGTATCATTTCCCGCCTTGAGTCTCTTGGCTGGAGGGGGGAGGGTGGTGTCGTCATCTTCCGTGATGGGCCTCTTGCGTGAGAGCGGGAGGGTGGTAAAAAATATCGACATATTGTTCTTTGGTCAAGATTCGAGTACTTGGGAAAGAAAAGAGAGTTTCTTGGCCAAGATTCGAGGACTTGGTAGAGAAAAGGGAGTTTCTCGATCAATATCTAAGTACTTCGTAAAGAAAAAAGGATTGTGAATGCAACAAAGGGCCTACAAAACTACAACGGAACGCTAGGGGCCCTTTATTTAAATAGCTTCCTTTTTGTGCAATAACAAAGCCTTTTCCATAACATCCAGGGTGTGCACCGTGACTCCCGTTTAAAAAGAGGTGTAAAGGTGTGGGCGCGAGCCCGGGAAGTTTTTTGCTTGTATAAAGCTTAAAGATGCTCAAAGTCAGGCGGTTGTTTCCCCAATCTTCAACCGGCAAAATCTCTAGTCTGCTGCAGCTACCTTTCCTTCTTCAGGATGTCTTCATTTTCAAAGAAGCTCTTGTCCTTGCTCCCGTAGAGAGCTAGGTAAGTTATAAACGCCGCAAGCTCCTCTACACGTACCGACCAGTTCATTCCCATAACAAGGCCTAGTACGCTTGTTGCGATGGTGTCTTTTGGCAACACGCCGCCCGGCCTGACTATGAGCGTCTGCCATAGCTTTTCATGTTCTTCCGTGAACTTCATGGCCTCGTTTTCAAACACGCTCTGGATAAGCAGATATATCAGCAATCATCTTTAGGTATCCGGTCGCTGATATATGTAATTACAGAATATTACCTTGATCTTCCTCGCCGCCGGAATCAGGTGCAAGCCCTTGCTTTGGTCCGTCTCGACCATCTGCCCGCTGAGGTAGATGAATCTGAACTTTGACAAAGCTTTGGAGCCTTCCGACCCAGAAACAGCATTGCTTTCAAGGATCCGAACGAAAGACGAGATGAACGCCAGGGGGTAGTCTAGGTTGGACGTGGTGTCGCCATCGAGTGTTCCCAGAGCCCTACAAGAGAGGCTATAAGTACACAGGATCGGATGGGTGGCTGACAGCGTCCCGGATAGAGTTGGCGACTTGGGCAACTCACCAAATCATGGCGTCTGCGTCCTTCACAGTCTCCAATCTATCATCGGGCCAATCCCCGAAGTCTTCCATGAGGACTGTTGTAAGTTTATCGTTTCCTTGAACACTCTTTGCAAGTGGCCGTCGGGCGAAGGCGACGACAGTCGTAACCTGAGGATTGTCGAGGCAGTGGAGCAGGGCCTCGCTTCCGATGAGGCCCGTAGCTCCTGCGACCAAGACTTTCATCGTGTGTCTTGTCCCGGACTGAGCCTGCCTGCGATCCACCGCGCAATTGAGGACGTTCGTTGGAACCCAACTGACGCTGGTGCGCGGCCTCGATATCAGGATCGATGGAGAGCAAGTCAGGGCAAGACACGGAGGACGCGATGCCAAAAAACCGCGGGAGGGGCTGCGATTCTCCACAATCGGACGAAACCAAGGCGAGGGTCATGGATTCGACCAGGTTAGACACGGTCAACTGGCCAACCCTGTGGGTTTATATCCTTATGACCGCGTGTCATGGCCTAACCGACAGCCCCATACGGTCAGTCGAACAACCTTGGTCTCCTGGAAGCCTGGCGCAGTTCGTTGGTTGGGCCACCGTCGCCACCGGGGCGCCTGCGGAGGCCAAGTCCGAGGAACCTCGGACTTGGCCCCGCTTTTACGGCGTCCATGATGTGTCCTGGGCGGCCGATGCGATTATCACCTGCGCTGGCATTGGGTGGTTTGATACCGTTCTGCGCATGGACCGCCGACGCTAGGCTTCGTCACACCGAAGGCCGCGATGGGCGTGTTGACGGCCGACTTGGGTCGGAGTTGTGTTGATGCTACCAGAGTGAAGTGAATGAATGGCAAGCCCAAGAAGGGGTTGGTTGGAGGAGGCTATTTTAGGGGAAACATTCAGCCCGGTAGGGTAGGGCTTCCGTGAGAAAGGAGACAGGCGAGGGCCCACCACGAAGGGCTACTGCAGGCCAAGAAATCCCGCCGACCGCAACTTGACCAGGATGGGTCTCTAGGCAAAGAGAGGCTGGAATTTGGGCATGAATGAAGCAGGCAAACATTACCGGTCAAATTAGTGAATTACAGGGCTGTGCCCGCTAAATTGTAAGTCTTTAGTGGCAGCACAGCATGTGTGCGCAGGCTCAAGCTGCTGGGGTCGTGCCCGGTCTCAATCCAATCTCAATCCCAGGAAGGCGGCTGGGCTGGGTCCAAGGAGCGTGTAATTTCCTGACCCTCTCCACCCACCCGGAGTCACGCCATCATTCAGTCCTTCTGATCGTCATCCTCCTTATCACCCTTTTCACCATTGTCCTGAGGCTCGTCCGAGCCTTCGGACGCCTTTTCGTCCTCCTTGGACGCCTTATCATCCTTCTCTTGCTTCTCCTTGCCCTTGTCATCCTTCTGTTCCTTTTCTTTGCCCTTGCCCTCCTTATCCTGCTTATCATCCTTACCGCCCTTACCTTGCTTTTTATCTTTCTGCTTCTCCTTCTTCTCCTCCTCTTTCTTCTTGCGTTCTGCCTCCTCCTTCTCTTTGCGGATTCTTTCCTTCTCCTCTGCCTCGAGTCTACGCCACTCCGATTCCGACATCTCTCGGATCGTTCTTCCGTGCTTCGAGTCGCTGATCCTCTCTGCGGCCTCCTTGTTACCGCCCTCACCGATCCGGGCCCGCCCGATCAGGCTAACCATGATGGCCGAGCCGACGACAAAGGTGAGCACGAAGCGGTATGTGCCATACCACGGCGGGGCCCAGCCGCGCGTGGACGCGTGCGAGTCGAAGTAGTAGAGACCCATGAAGGCGCCGAACTGGCCGATGAGCGCGTACTCGACCGGCATCAACAGCGTCGGCCAGGCGATCGCGGGGGCGGCGACGCCGAGAGCATACCGGAATCTGGTTCGCTTCGGGTCTGGCGTCGTCGCTCCATACTCGAGACCCTGTAGGCATTCACGATGTCAGCCATACGAGGGTTTCAAGGCGCTTTCGAACGCAGGGTGCGGGTTGCTTACCCAGTGGATCGCTCCGAGAAAAGAGATGATGACTGCGCCGTATCCTAGCTGGATTGCCTCAAGCTGCTGGAGGAGGCTCTGCGCAGTCGCGTCCTTGAGCAGGAGAGTGTTGAAGAGCGCGTTGGACGACCATTGCGTGTTGAGATTCCAGCCCAGATACAGTGTCGAAAGCGAGGTCCCGAGATATGGAAGCGTCCCTGCGAGACCGAGCTTGTATGACAGCGAAGGAACGCTGGAGAGGTCGAACGTGTCCTTGACGGTTTTCTGCGTGGTTCACCTTAGTCAACGAGAGTCTAGGATGTCGGAGCAATGTGGTTGCCTACCAAGTCGGACTTGAGGCCCCGTGTGATGTCGTCGTCGCTTTGGCTTGCCTGACCCGATGGCTCAAACACGGCACGGACGGTAGAGGCGGAGGTTACGGCATCGGGGTTTGCCTCGAGCTTCTGACGGGCGACCTCTTTCTCACCTTCCTTGTCCACGCCAACAGGGATTTTCGTCGAATATTGCAGCTGTCGAACGGACCGCGGAGGTACAATGTGATATCTGGGAGCCTTGGGCTTGGTTACGAGTGTCGACAGGTACCGAGCCCGGTCTTGCGCCAATGCAAGGTTTGCAGCCGCGCGAATCTCGGCGGCCTTGGCTGACAGCAAGGCCATTTGTCGGGAAGACCGAAGCATTTTTGCAGACTGCGACGGAGTTTTGGTCTCAAAAATAGATTATCTCGCGATACTTGGAACCGGCGCTGCTACGAGACCACCAAAGAAAGACAAGAAACGCCGGGATGCAGTTTACGACGAAACGGGAGGAGGCCCTGGCTGGACACCCTTCCCTTTTCTAGCCAGGGCGAACGTCCCTCCTGCCCGGAGCTGGTAGCAGTTGCAGCTTTCATGTTTTTGCTTGGGCGGCCCGGTTGAGCTCCCATCTGCCCGCTGGTGGTGACGTCAGATGTAGCACACTCACCAAATCAGAGCTCCGTGCAGTCCAGACCCGCGTGTCGCGGTTGCAGACCTGGAACACCCATGGCCCCTGGTGTTAGTAAATTCGGCGAATCATGGATGTCACGATTGTTTAGGTAGAATCCAGACACCAGGAAACGCAGTGAATTGCGAACCCAGTACGTAGAGGCGGCGACATTTCACTATCATGTCAGTGACAAGATGCTCACCTCACGTTTTCTTACAATTGAAGCTGCACTGGCCTCTTACATCACGGCACTCGCTTTCATCCGTTTTTGACATTGCCCAGACATTCATTCAAGCTCCTCCCTGGCAGTCATCAACCCCACAAACCCCACGTTGTGTGATGACGCAGGAGCACGGACCACATCCCACGCGTCATCCACTTCCAGCTCTTCACTGCGCCACGAAATCCTAGGAGACCAAGACGTGGGAGCGGGAGCGGTCGGCGCCTTATTTGTTCCTTGTTTCGGCGTCTGTTTTGGCCCAGATGCCACATCCAAGGCGACTAGATCTCCCCATTCGCCCACCTCCTAGGCCTTCATACGATACTTGCTCTTTCAGTATCATCCTATTCTAGACTTGCCAGCAGACAGCATCGCGGCCCTCAAGGTTGGACCACCCCACCAAGCTGCATGCCGCCTCGTGCTGCACCTGTTGCCCACTGACGCACCTTTGCCGCCCGTAGACCCTATTATCCCACGTGTGCCATCGACGTCAACAGTGCTTCTCGATACCCCTCATTCTTCGGCGCTCCGCGAACCTACGATACCCTACGATCGCGCCGACTGGCCCTGTCACCCATGAGTTTCTTTAACGGTTCCTGAAAGCTACACCCCAAGCTTGCCCCTGCCCGGGTCACGGCGGCCCTGCTATCGCCATGTTGGAAGGGCTGGTGGCCGGTCTGATCAACCGGTTCCTGGGCATGTATGTCAAGAACTTCGATCCCGCCCAGCTCAAGGTCGGCATCTGGTCCGGTGACGTCAAGCTTCGGAACCTCGAACTGCGCCGCGAAGCCCTCGATCAACTAAAGCTCCCCCTCAACGTCGTCGAAGGCCATCTCGGAACCCTGACGCTTGTCATACCGTGGTCCAACCTGCGCGGCGCCCCCGTTAAGGTCTACATCGAAGATGTCTTCCTCCTCGCCTCGCCCAAGGAGGAGGCCGAATACGACGAGGTCGAGGAGGAGCGGCGGAGGCAGCGCATCAAGATGGACAAGCTCGACTCGGCGGAGCTGCTCAAGGAGAGGTCCCAGGAGGGACTCAGCCAGGAGGAGCAGAAGCGCAGCCAGAGCTTCATGGAGAGCTTCGCTACAAAGATCGTCGACAACCTGCAGGTCACGGTCAAGAATATCCACATCCGCTACGAGGATTCTATATCTGCCCCGGGCCATCCGTTCGCCCTCGGAGTCACACTGCAGGAGTTTAGTGCCGTTAGCACTAACGGAGAGTGGAAGCCTGCCTTCATCCAGGACTCGACGGGCACCACACATAAGCTGGCAACCCTGGGTGCGCTTGCCGTGTACTGGGACACGGATGCCGACCTGTTTGGATCTGGCCGCGAGGCGGAAACGCCCGGGGAGGAGGCCCCAACACATGAGGAGCTCACCCAGAAGTTCAGGGACATGATGCCAGACGACGACGGCTCCCAGAACCACGCCCACCAGTTCATCTTGAAGCCTGTCAGTGGGCAGGCCAAGATAGAGCTGGACAAGTCCGGAAAGACCGAAGTACCAAAGTTCAAGGCAAACCTTCTGTTCGACGAGATTGGCCTGGTTCTTGACGACGATCAGTACCGGGATGGGCTGATGATGGTGGACCTGTTCCACTATTTCATCCGCCATCAGGAGTACAAAAAGTACCAGCCCAAGGGCGTCACACCAAAGGAGGATCCGAGAGCCTGGTTCCGGTTCGCCGGCAATGCTGTGCTAGCCAAGATCCACGAGAGGAATCGCCGATGGTCGTGGGACTACTTCAAGGAGCGTCGCGATGACCGCTTGCGGTATATCGAGCTGTTCAAGAAGCGGAAGCAAAACCCTAACCTTGAGCCTGATGACAACGAAGAAATCACAAAACTCGAGCAGAAGCTCGACTATGAGGATCTGCGTTTCTGGCGGTCCCTGGCGCGAAATCAGCTCAAGAAGGAGAATGCCGCCGCCCTGAAGAACCAGCCCCCCAAACAGGAGCAGCAGCAGGGATGGATAGCCTGGGTCTGGGGTGCCAAGCCTGCGACTGAGCAGCAGCCTACGGAGGACGCGGAGAACACAAAGATCACAGAAGAGCAGAGGAAGGAGCTCTACGACGCCATTGACTGGGACGAAAAGACGGCGCTTGCCGATGCCATCGACGAGCCGCGGGAGACCGTGAAGCTGCAAATCGAGGCTTCCCTTAGCATGGGGAGCTTGACGCTCAAACAGAACCCCCACGGTAAAACTCGGGATCTTGTCAGCCTCCACTTTGACCTGTTCAAGGCGAAAGCCGTCAAGAGGGTGGATTCGGTCTTTCTCGACTTGGGCCTGGGTGGGCTCAGAGTCAACGACGGCACAACACCCAACACGTTTTTCCCTGAGATCGTCAGGGTTAAGGATGCCCCAGATACCAGGAGAAAGAAGCGCTTGTCGATTGTCGAGCTCGAGAGGCACGAAGAGGAGGCTTTCTTCCAGCTCCAGGTCGAGCAGAACCCCCTTGACGGCCAGGGCGATATCGCCGTCACGGCAAAGCTGAACCCGCTCGAGATCGTCTGGAACCCCAACATCGTCGTCGGGATCGTCGACTTCTTCAGGCCGCCAGAAAGGCACATGGAGTCCATTACGGCCCTCATGGAGTCCGCCGGGGCCACGGTGGAGGGTCTCCGAGAGCAGACTCGTGCTGGTCTCGAGTTTGCCCTGGAGGAGCACAAGACCATCAACGCAAAGCTCGACCTCCAAGCCCCCCTCATCATCGTCCCGTTGAGCATCACGACTGACAAGTCTACATGCATCATCCTCGATGCCGGGCACATCAGCGTGAACAGCGAGCTCGTTGATAAGGACACGCTGAAACAGGCCCAGTCCAAGCAGAACCAGTCTTATACAGAAGAGGACTTCAAGCGTCTAGAATCGTTGATGTACGACCGTTTCCTGGTCAAGCTCACTTCGACACAGCTCCTTATCGGCAATTCCATCGAGGAGACGAAGGCGCAGCTGACGCAGAGAGACGAGTCTAAGATGATGCACGTGGTGGACAAGATCAATGTCGATTTTGTCGTCGCCATTTCAATTATGCCCAAAGCCCCTAACCTCACTCGCGTCAAGATATCTGGTCACATGCCAGTACTCCATGCAGTTGCGTCCGACACCAAGTACAAGAATCTCATGCAGATCATCAACGTTGCCGTCCCGAAACTTGGGGACGAGCCCCAAGCTGCTCACAGCGAGACAGAGATGAGGCCCAAGAGGCCACGCCTGTTGAGCAACCTGTCTAGCCGATCTGCGATTAGGAAATCACGCGCTAGAAGCTCGTCACACCTCATTTCTTTCGCACCAACACAGCAGGCCGCCATCGTGCTCAGCGACGCGGGTGATGACGATGACGAGTTCCAAGACGCCAGCGACGGCTCCGTCAACCAGCAACTCAAGATGCAGCAGAGAACGTTTGAGCTCAAGTTTGCCGTCGACGAGCTTCGTGGTTCGCTGTACCGCAGCGACCCCGACGGAAAGAAGCCCGACGCGCTGCTGGTCGAGCTGGTCGCGCAAAATTTCGATCTGGAATACTTCATCCGGCAGTTCGACATGGTGGCCGAGGTCTCGCTGGGTTCAGTCACGGTCGACGACTTTGTGTCCAACCCCACCGCCGAGTTCAAGTCTATCGTCTCGTCCGGCGACGTCGAGGACCGCGAGCAGCAGCGCGAGCTTGTGCACGTCAAGTTTGTTAGGGTCAACAAGGAGTCGCCCGAGTTCATGTCGATCTACGAAGGCGTCGAGACAAACGTCAATGTCGCCGTGTCCACCATCAACCTCATCGTCACCCGCAAGACTCTGCTTACCCTCCTGGACTTCATCCTCATCACCTTTGCTAACAACAACAACAATAACAACACGCCGCAAAAGGCAGTCACCGATGATGGCTCCGAGGTAGAAATTGCGGTTGAAGCGGCTGGACCTCCGCAGCAACAGCAGGCGGGCGCCATCAAGGTCAAGGTGGACCTCAAGAGTATTCGGATGATTCTCAATAACGACGGCATCCGCCTCGCAACTCTATCGTTCAACCACGCAGACGTTGGAGTTTTTATGCTGGGCAAGACCATGCGTGTGTCGACAAAGCTTGGAGACCTATCCCTGATTGACGACGTTAACCTCGGCGTCTCGGAGGAGTCAAATCTCCGCAAGCTGGTCACCATCCAGGGAGATGACCTTGCCGACTTCCGGTACGAGACCTTCGACTCCGAGTCCAAGTCGTATCCCGGCTACGACTCATCCATCCATCTCCGCGCCGGCTCGGTCAAGGTCAATTTCATCCAGGAGCCATTCAGGAAGATTGTCGCTTTCCTTGTCAAGTTTGGCAAGATGCAGGCCATCTTCAACGCGGCCAGGCAGGCAGCAGCAAACCAGGCAACCCAGCTTCAGCAGAGCAACAGCCGCATCAAGTTCGATGTTATCATCAAGACGCCCATTGTTGTCTTTCCACGAGTCGTCATGAACAATAACCCGCAGCGGGATCTGATAACGGCCTACCTTGGAGAGATCTACGCCCAGAACAAGTTCGCTCCGCTGGACGACTCGGAAAATTCAGAGATCGGACAGAAGCTATCGGCTGGCATCAGGAACATCAGGCTCACGTCGCTTTTCCACTACCGCGAAGATCGGTCAGAAGAGCTCGAGCTCATCGACCACGTCGACTTTGGCTTCAAGATGACGTACGCCGAGCACAGGGAGGGCGTCAAGCGGCCAGACCTAGAGATACAGGGCCACATGACGGACTTCTATCTTCGCGTCACCCAGCACCAGCTTCGATTTCTTTTGGAGATCTCGAGGTCAGTCCCTGCCGCCTTTGCCGGGGACCCCGAGGATGCCGACGAGGCGGCCGAAAAGGACGTGGACGCCGGGACCCTCCAAAGGGCAAAGACGCAGTCGTCGGAGAGCAGTGGATCGTCTGGAGAAGAGGCCGTCAATCTCAGTCCCGAGATCGGCATGCAGTCTCAAACGTGGACGCGTCTTGATCTGGTTTTTAACGTCCACACCATCGGCCTGGAGCTCATCAATGGGTTCGAGGATAGGCCAATTGGCGATGTCCAACAAGCCAGCCTGTCCAGATTCTCACTTGATGACAGCAAGTTAAAGCTACGGATGCAGGCAAACGGTGCTTTGGAGGCCGAGTTCGTCATCCACTCTTTTACCATCCACGACAGCCGATCGCAAGAGAACAACAAGTTCAAGAAGATCATGACCTCCCGTAACAAGAAGGTGCAGCAGTTCATGGCTAGCGTCTCGATGACGAGCGGCAAGGTTCGCGATGTGATCGCCATGGTCGCCATCGACAGTCCCCGGGTCATCTTTGCCCTGGACTACATTTTCATGCTGCAGGGATTCGTCACGACTGCACTTGCCGTGGAGGAGTCCGGGGTCCCTGTCGAGGAACTGCAAAGTCCAATAGAAACGCCAGACGAATCGGATGCCGACTCGATGCAGGTGGCTTTTGCGGGACAGAAATCCGGCAGGAGCAGTATCAGCCGCGACGTTCAGCAGCCCACAGCAACATCGGCGGAGACCGAGCCGACCATGAACCTTGCCTTCCGCGTCAATGTCGTCGACGCTCAAGTCATCCTGATTGCGAATCCCCTGAGTCCCAGCTCGGAGGCGATAGTGCTAGGCACCAAGCAAGTGCTTCTTTCACAACAGCACGCATTGACCTTCCAGATCTCCGAGATTGGCATGTATCTCTGTCGAATGGATCGCTTCGAAGAGTCTCGCCTGAGGATCATTGACGACTTCTCTATCCGGCTATCGATGGACAGCTCAAAGCCCACCGAGAGTAACATCCATATCGACATTGAGCCTCTTATCCTGCGGCTTTCGCTACGGGACATTCTCGTCGCTCTACAGATTCTCCAGAAAGCCTCGGAGCTCTCTAGCAATGACCAGCCAGACTCGAAAGAAGGCGCGGCAGATGCGAAGGCCAAACAGTTACGACAGGCTGGCCTCAAGCAGCGCACGGCTAGCGGAAAAGGCCAATCTACGCTGGTGGCAAACAAGACGAAGACGGTCACGACCGCCGCTAGCAACAGACATCCGCAAGGATCGGGAGGTCCGCACGACGTATCTAAGCCAGTCCCCAGGCGAGAGTCTCTAACCGCTACCATCGATGGGATTCGGGTCGTCCTGATTGGTGATCTTCACGAATTGCCGATTCTTGATCTCAGCATCAAAGACTTCACCGCCTCGGCGGAGGACTGGTCCAGCAGCCTGAAGGCGGAGACGGCCATCGAAATGTACATCAACGTCTACAACTTCTCCAAGTCTGCGTGGGAGCCACTGCTTGAGCCGTGGAAAGTAGGCTTTGGCGTCGCCAGAGATCAGGACTCCGGGCTCCTGTCCGTCGATGTGACCTCGAGACAGACGTTCGACGTGACCATCACGACAGCGACGATTGCTCTTGCGTCCAAGTCTTTTGCCTTCCTCACTCAAGACGAGGATGTCCTGGGCAAGCCTCGCGACGTCAAGGCGCCGTACCAGATCCGCAACCACACCGGCTTCGACGTGGTTGTCAGCGCCAAGAACCCCAAGTCGGAAGAAAACATCAGTCTCAGGCTGGAGGAGGGCCAGGAGGCCCCCTGGAGCTTCGAGCACTGGGAGAAGATGCGCGAGAGCCTCATGTCGGAGGCCAACTCCAGTAATGTTTCGGTGCATCTCGAGGGAAGCGGATTTGACGCAGTCAAGAACGTTCGTCTGAACCGCGAGGGGGAGTTTCTGTACGGCCTCAAGCCCAAGGCCGAAAAGGTGCTTCACCGGATGCTTGTGGAAGTGTCGCTCGGCAAGGACAACGTGAAGTATGTAACGCTGCGGTCGCCGCTCCTGGTCGAGAACCAGACGCAGATACCTGTCGAGCTCGGGGTTTACGACGCCCAAGAGGGACATCTGCTCAAGATCGAAAAGATAGCCCCGGGCGAGTCGCGCCCAGCGCCAGTGGGGGCCGTGTTCTTCAAGTCACTCTTGGTGCGCCCAGACTCTGGCTTTGGCTACTCCTGGTCGACCGAGACGCTGTGGTGGAGGGATCTCCTCAAGCGACCGACACGCACCATGGTGTGCAAAGGGGAGCAGGGCGACCCATTCTACTTCCAGTTGCATGCCACCTTCGAGAAGGGCAGCCCCTTGACCAAGTATGTTCAACTTTTCCCTTGAGGACCATTGCCTTGCTGACGTCTCATCTAGCACCTACCCCTATATGCGAGTCAAATTGTCGGCGCCGGTCGTGCTGGAAAACTTGCTTCCGTATGACTTCAAGTATCGCATATATGACAAGAACACGAAGAAGGATTGGACGAACTTCCTTAGAAAGGGTGGTGTCAGTCCCGTCCATGTCGTCGAGCTGTCGCACCTACTGCTTCTAAGTGTGGACATGCAAGACACGGTCTTCAAGGCCAGCGAGTTTGCCATAATCAACCCTGGCAGCACCGACGACTTCAAGAAGGAGATGACCTTGACGTGTAGGGACGAGCAGGGGCTGAACTTGAACCTGCGTATGCACTACTACCGTGTCCCGGACGGTGGCGGCGCGTTCAAGGTGACGGTCTACAGCCCCTACGTGATTCTCAACAAGACTGGCCTTGACGTCAACATCCGGTCCAGGGGCTTCATGCAGCACGCGAAGGCCGCGCCCGGCTCTGGAGGACGTCAGCTTGTCGATGCATCAGAGAACAACAGACCCAAGGCCCTTCCGATAATGTTTTCGTTCGGAAACGATGACCACCGCAATCGCGCCTCGCTAAGGGTGGGCGACTCTGAATGGAGCAAGCATCAAAGCTTCGACGCCATCGGTAGCACCACGGATGTTGTGCTGCAGTCTACCAGCCGCAACGCCGAGATCCACGTCGGCATCTCGGTGCAGTCGGGCGAAGGCAAATACAAGATGACCAAGGTCGTGACCCTGGCTCCGAGATTCGTGGTCCAGAACAAACTAGGGGACGAGATCAACATCCGTGAGCCCAGCTCATCGAGCCTCCTGTCGCTCCAGTCGCAGGCGCTGCAGCCTCTGCACTTCCTCCAGAGGACATCGGTCAAACAGCTGTGCCTCTGCTACCCGGGGGTCAACAGCCAATGGACGTCTCCCTTCAACATTTCCGACATTGGAACCACGCACATCAAGCTCGCCAAGCCAGGACAGAGACAGCGGCTGATTCGGGCCGAGGTCCTCATGGAGGATGCCACCATCTTCATCACACTGAGCATGGAAACCAAGAGCTGGCCATTCAGCATGCGCAACGAGAGCGATACCGAGTTCACATTCTACCAAGCCAACCCCAATGTGGACGAGGACGGGGATGAGGACAGGTCAGGCTGGCGGCAGATAAGATATCGACTCCCTCCGCGCAGCATAATGCCCTACGCGTGGGACTTTCCGGCCGCCAAGCACAGAGAAGTTGTCATTAGCGCCTTCGGCAAGGAGCGGCATGTCAAGCTCGCCGAGATTGGCAACCTCGTCCCGATGAAGTTTGTGGCGCCATCGGGCCAGGCCAAGATCATCGACATCAACGTTGCTGCCGAAGGACCAACTCAGACGCTCATTCTGAGCAACTTCAAGCAGTCCAAGAGTCTATACCGACAAAAGTCGGGTCTGCGCCGTACGAACACGCAGTCGAGCATGAGCACGGATGGCGGGTTCGAAGTGAAGAGCCAGGATGTCGGCACCACCTTCCAGGCCCAACTGAAGCTCGCGGGCATTGGCATATCGCTGATCAACTCGCAGCTGAGGGAGCTCGCCTATGTCACGCTCCGCGACGTGCTGCTCCGCTACAGCGAGTCGCCCCTGTACCAGACAGTCAGCCTGGCTGTCAAGTGGATACAGATCGACAATCAGTTGTACGGTGGCATCTTTCCGATGATCTTGTACCCAAGCGTCGTCCCCAAGAGGGCACAGGAGATTGACGCGCACCCGTCGCTCCACGCCATGGTCACACGCGTCAAGGACGACTCGTACGGAGTACTATATATCAAGTACGCCACGGTTCTTCTTCAACAAATGACGGTCGATCTGGACGAGGACTTTGTGTACGCGGTCCTTGACTTCTCCAAGGTTCCCGGGGCAGCGTGGGAGACGGAAGTGGACGAGGGCAAGCTCTGCGACGACAGCGTGGACATCCCAGAGCCCAGGCAGCAGCAGGCGGCGCAGGACATCTACTTTGAGCTGCTGAACATCCAACCAATGCAGCTCGACCTCTCGTTTGTACGCACCGAGCGCATCAACGCCGAGGACAAGACGTCTTCACGGAACCCGCTCATGTTCTTCCTCAATGTCATGACCATGGCCATCGGAAACGTCAATGACGCGCCGCTTCGGTTAAATGCGCTCATGCTGGAAAACGTGCGGGTTTCCATCCCACTGCTGACACAGAACGTATCGAACCACTACAGCCAGGAGGCGCTCTACCAGGTGCACAAGATTCTGGGATCTGCCGACTTCCTCGGCAATCCCGTGGGTCTGTTCAACAACATCAGCTCGGGCGTGGCCGACGTCTTCTACGAGCCGTACCAGGGGCTCATCATGTCGGACCGACCCGAAGACATTGGCGTGGGCCTGGCGCGCGGGGCGGCTTCGTTTGCGAAGAAGACGGTCTATGGCTTTTCAGACTCGTTCTCCAAGTTTACGGGCTCCATCTCCAAAGGCCTCGCGGCCGCAACGCTGGACAAGCAGTTCCAGGACCGCAGGCGAATCAGTCGCGCACGCAATCGGCCAAAGCACGCGCTCTATGGTGTCACGACGGGCGCCAACTCGCTCTTCACCTCCGTCGGGTCAGCAGTGGGCGGGCTCGCGCGCAAACCACTTGAAGGGGCGGAGCAAGAGGGTGCGCTCGGGTTCTTCAAGGGTGTCGGCAAGGGCGTGCTGGGCCTGACGACGAAGCCCGTGATCGGAGTGCTGGACCTGGCCTCCAACGTGTCAGAGGGCATCCGCAACACGACAACCGTGTTTGACGGGTCTGAGCTCGACCGGGTGCGGCTGACGCGCTTCATCCCACGCGACGGCATCGTGCGACCGTACAGCCAGCGCGAGGCACTGGGCCAGTCGTGGCTCAAGCAGGTAGACAACGGCAAGTACTTCGACGAGGAGTACGTGGCACATGTGGAGCTGCCACGGGAGGACGTGGTGGTGATCGTGACGTATGCGCGCATCCTGCTCATCCGCAGCCGGCGGCTGACGGCCGAGTGGGACATACCGCTCAAGGACATCCAGACCATCTCCAAGGAGCGCACAGGGCTGAGCCTGTCGCTGAGGGGCGGGGCTAATGGGCCGTTCATCCCGGTGGGCGAGGAGAGCGGGCGGGCGTTCCTGTACAAGAGCGTGGCGGTCGCGGTGGAGGAGTTCAACCGCCGGTCGAGGGCGCTCGAGTAGAGTGTGGGCGGGAAGGTGAAGCCTGGGCGGCGAAGGAAGAGGAGTGAAGCATCCGGGTCTTGAGGTGGAAGGCACTTGTTGATGACCATGGGAATCACAATGGATGGGGGCATTTTATGAACATGTTTACGGCGGTGTCTTTTCTTTTTCCTATCAGAGCAATTGTGCCGCTCTCCCTACAACTGTTTCTGTTATTGTCGGGCTGTTTGTTACATTTGCCCCTAGAGCTTTGTACAGGTGTTGGATTGTAACAGCATAAAAGTGTACGAGGTTTGCGTCGGAATTGAAGTAAAGCACCTGGTCCCTACCTTTCAGTGTGCAAGCTCGGCACTGATTTCTTGTACCGCATTTGGGCATTAACTTGCTGACGGCGCCGCTTGGTGCACTCCGCAGTTACGGAAACCTCTGGTTGGTGCACCAAGACAGGCGGGGCCACACGGCAAGTTTCCAGAAAGTTGTCCAGGTACCCTGCACCTGCTTACCAGGTAGGCGCATACACGAAGTGCGGCTCCTCGGAGAGAAAAAAAAACCCCCCTCTCTCTCGTGACCGAGAGGACCAGGCATACGGGGCGGGAATACTTGGGTGTAGCACAAAACAGAGCTAGGCGGCCTTGGGAGCGGGTCAGTTACACCTGGCTGCCTGCCCTGACCGGGGATTTTTTGCTACCCGTCAGACGCGGGTATTTCGGTGACGTGTTTCTTTTCTTATGGTCAAGGGTATTGGAATGTGGCATTATGTCACACTCGTCGGGCAGTACAGTCCTTGGGCTACGATAGCAAAAGCACTTGAAATGGGGATAGGTATAGAAGCGGGGAGGGAGGGAGGGAGGCACGGAGGTAGACGGGTATCTGCCGATCCCCCTCCTCTCCCCGCAATTATTGGCCCTGAATACGAAGGGGAAGTGCTTGGCACGATGGGGCTTTTGATGCAGGGATTGCAGCCTAACGGTCCGGGGAAAAGGCTGTTCGTGATTGGGGGAGTATGGCGGGGACGATGCGGCTGATTTTTAGGCCTCCTCTGCGGGGACAATACGTTTTGTGAGGGGGACCGCATAAAGCGGGCCACGCGCACCCACACAGTATCGCCACAACACAAGTTGGCACCGCAGCCAAATTAGGAGTGAAATAAAACAACGAAAATAATTAATGCATGCAACGATATAGAATAACAACAACGTAATAACAAGCAACAATTCGTGCAATTAAAAGTTTTTTTTTAGGGCTGCAGCCTTTTAAACAACGGTAACTAACGCGGAAAACCACGTTACCTTTAGCGCCAGCGGGAAAGCGCTGCTTTACAGTTAAATTAAAGCTTAAAGCGTGTTATGGATCCGTATGTAATACGGATTACGAAACCCAAAAAGTAGTTCTTGGAACTGAAAGCTTTGCATATAAGGACCGCTTTTAGTCCTCTTAAAACGAGGACTTTTCTTACCACTTTCCTTTTTATGTCGTAAAATAACATTATTATTAAGTAACCCCTTTATAGCTTAATTTATTACAGGGCGTGCGCTTACGCTTTTATAACTTTTCCAGCTTTTTTTTTTTTTAAAAAAAAAAAAAAGGCGTGCGCTTGCGAAAGATTTTGTCAGGAGCACGGGCGAGACCGCCCGGCAGAAAGCGGGGAGCGTTAAATGCACGGGCGAAACCGCCCGGCAAAAAA